ACGATATCTTTGCACTGCAAGAAACTAAAGGGGAGATTAACTTTAGTAACTACTGCTGCTTTAACTCAAACCGAAAGGGGTCAAATTCTGGTGGTGTCTGTATTGGAGTCCATAAAAGCCTACAAGCCGGTGTAACTCATGTCCAGATGAACGCCTCGGAGGACATCGTTGTAGTTAAGCTGAAAGCCAACTATTTTGATCTTGATAGGAACACCTATTTAGTTAATGTATACGACTCTCCAACCAATGGTTCTTTCAAGAAGCGGAGAAGAGATATAGAAACTGAAGTCAGCAACTCAACTCTAGAACACCTCCAAGAATTCCTGGCAGATATACCGCTCAGCGAGGATGTCATTCTTCTCGGTGACTTTAACGCTAGAACTGGCACAATGGATGACATGATGTCTGACAATAGACACCTGAAAGACTACGAACTTAACGCCCATTACTGCAAACAGCTGACGAAACGCAACAACTCGGACCTTAAGCTGAACACAAACGGGCGACCCTTCATCGAACTCCTGCAAACAACTGGTCTAGTCATTCTCAATGGTAGGACCCTGGGTGACATTTTTGGTGCACCCACTTGTATTCAACGCCACGGTGTTAGCACTGTTGACTATATCTGCGTATCCACGAGTCTCCACGATAAAATTCGCCAACTCAAAATCGAGAGCATATCCCAGTACTCCGATCACAGACCACTCTCTATGACTATCTCTACCAATCATCTAAAGAGGATCTCTACCAGTAATGACACTAAAGACATCCAGGATGCACCCAAATCCTTCAAATGGAACATATCAGAGAATCTCTCTGCCGACTCAGCAACCCAGTTTCGCTCGGCACAGAATGATCAGACATTTAAGGACAAAATAGAACACCTCCTTAACCAACCAGCGAACACAGCAGACGAAGCAACACGGCTCAATAAAGATTTGGTCGCAACCAAGGATGGTAAATGCGTTTTGGGGAGACTACGCGTAGATACTACGCATACGTATTTCCCGATGATAAATTACGTATTTCAAATTAAGTTGCAGTAACGCGCGAAGATATATATATAAATATTACATTACAGTACATGGAATCGTGGCCTAATTGGTTAATACGCTAGCTCCATATCATCAGATAGCGAGTTCGAGACTTGGATAGGATCATTTTTTTCCCATGATACTTTTGGCAATTATGAATAACTAATGAATAACTAAAAATACCTCTGTAATATAACTAGCAAGGTGAAATGAAATCGTCTTCCGGCCGAAAAAATTATTATAGCCGTTTTAAAAATTTATTATAGCCGTTTTTTCTTTCCAGGCTGGATTCCTAGTCACTTTTTAAATTTATGCCGCTGGGAAGTCCGTGTTAATCCGGTAACCGGTTTCAAAATTCAAGCAAGAGAGACTTGTGATCTTAGTCTGCAAATATTGTAATAGAAAAAATTCACTGGAACTGGGTCTCGGTTGAAAGTCTATTCCTCGAGGGAGGCATAACTGCTTTATACCCTTAGAAGCTCTGCTTTGCAGCAGACTGACTGATTGGTTGGTTCAGCATAAGAATAGCAAGTCGCTGCAGCGTTTTCATTCGAGCACCGTAACGGTAAAGTCTCCAAAACGACTGTCAGTATTGCTATATACCACTGAGCCAGCGACGCACGCGCAAATATCACTAATCACAGTGCTGGCAAGCACGACCGTTGCATTTATTGTGGGTATACTATGTTCCCCATTTACTATTATACCCCCTTTACTATTATACCCCCTTTACTATTATACCCCTTTTACTATTATACCCCCTTTGGTACACGTTACAAGCCTCTTTTGTGCACGCGAAGCGTGCACTCCGGCCGGAGGCGGCGGCCGAAGGCCGCCGCCTCCGGCAGGAGTTTTCCAGGCATTAAGACTCATCGGAAGTCGTTCAGCAGATTTATTTTTAGTTCAAAACATTCTAATTTGATGTCAAAGATGACAGGAATAAAAAATAGTTATGTTCAGATTTTTAAGAAATTTGCATAAAATACTCGCCAGCACTGTTATACGAAATTCGGTAAAAAACCCAAAATCGCCATATTCAGGTGCCCTAAAAACCATGTTAAAATTGAGTTAGAGATCTGAAATTTTTCAGGGCGTCTAGACGTTGACCAAATTGACTGCAAAAAAAGTTTCAAGTTTCAGGGGCATCGGGAAATAGGTTTTCTAGAACCCCTGTTTTACGACAGATTGTCGTGACATAGATAGATATACATATATATTCAGGGATAGACGCTTTGCCAGTCAATTGTAGCTTGTATTTAAGTGTCCATAGATTCAAAAGTATAAAAGATACAGCCATTTCCGACCACAGCTCTTGCAAATAATTGTTTACACTTTAGTTTACATTGTATAAAAAATTTATTTGACGTCATAAACACCCCTTGATGACGTCATCAAGTTAACCGTTTTTAAAACTTGATTTTTGACAAAGTAATAACTTTTAAAATTAATTTTAACCCATTAAGGAGTAATTTTATTCAAAATCTGAGGAAAATTTCATCTTAGATAATTGTTCAAGCATTCTGAAAATCTACCGGAAAGTTTTTCTAGCTTGCTCCTTCATAAAGATATTCGTCATTGAAGTTTGTGCTTTTTTGAAGAATTATTTTATAAAAACGTCAATTTTGCGATTTAGTATTCTTTGGTGTTGGGCCATGCCTTGGGTTGTGGAGCTCAGTTCTGCTTCCTATAGGTATAAATTGTGCATTAGGCTAGTTTTAAAGTTGAAAATCGAAAAGTTGCACACGTGGGGACACGCCCAAATTGATAGAAAATTGCTAAAATCACTGAAAATTGCTGTTTTCGTCATTTTCTGTCAACTTTAGAGTGCCGTTGTGATTACAGTTCTTCTTGAAATACTTTGAAACTTTGCATGCTTATCAAGCTATATATAAAACAATTACATGCAAAAATTTACGGCGATTCAATATTGGATGCGCATGCAACGTCCGCTCAAAGTTTGCACGTGCGAAAGGTGAACATTTTGCTCATTCGTGATTTCCAACAAATTCTGCTTTGCCACGACAGTTTAATGTCATTATATATGAATTTAATGTCAACTTGAATGAGTATTAAGTGGTATATTCAGTCAGTGATGGACCGATATGCTTACCTAAACACAAGGAAATGTTTTTAAAGGAAAAATTTCGAAATCGTTGAAACTTCCTCCTTATTATAATGAAGATATCAGTTTATATTTCGACTTTATAAAGTACCCTGGGCCTGACATTATAATCAAAAAGAGATGATATTTTACCAAAACCCATAATCATGGGTAGAGTGGACCGCTGCCAGTGTCTCTCTTTCCCAAACAAAAGGAAATGATATTAATTTGACTGACCGTTCTCAAATGCAAAATGATACCGAGAATGAAATCGGTCGCTCGCTTTTCCCATTCATTTACAATTGTAATAGATTAAGAAGAACTACCCAAAGGCAGCTGTACTCGGCAATAAAGATTCAATAAACTTCAGCTAATTCAATAAGTGATAACTACCACCCTTACCCCGAAATACTAGGTATCGACCCGAACGCAACCCAAAGAGATTTTTACAGCATCTGATTGACATGTAATCAATCGAAAATTATTACAATTCGTAAGCCGTGAATGAATGGGAAAAGCGAGCGACCGATTTCATTCTCGGTATCATTTTGCATTTGAGAACGGTCAGTCAAATTAATATCATTTCCTTTTGTTTGGGAAAGAGAGACACTGGCAGCGGTCCACTCTACCCATGATTATGGGTTTTGGTAAAATCTGTAATCACGTATTTCCATAGAGATACGCGCGTATTTTGAAAAATTTTACCATCAAAGAATTTAAGCGCCAAATTTTGCCGTATTTCACGTATTTCTTAGAATTTTTGAATACGGCGTATTTACAGGCGATTTTTTGACGTATTTACCATCGATGGTCGCAACATACCACAACCTTGCGAATTCGGTTACTACAACCAAACGTGGAACACGTACTAACAAGAAAAAATGGTTTGATCTTAACTGCAGGCGTGCGAAAAGTGAGGCTAGCAGAGCTGACAGGAATGCAAATCGCAACCCACACAGCAATTTCCTTCGCTATCAGTATCAGCACTTTCTCAAAAAAAAGGAGTACCGGGCTATTAAGAGCACGAAAAAGGGGAAATATCTGTTCGAGATGAATCAAAAGATAAACGAAAGTGGTAATGTTAACTGGGCGGCGCTCAAGCAACTGTCCGAACAACACAAAGATGAAGAGCCATTTGACATTTATGATCTTCTCCTCTTTCATAAATTTTTTAACGACCTTTACAACCGTAAGTGTAGTAAGAATCACCACGCAGATGATGACGTCGTCTCTACTCCCACAACCGACGAGCTGCAGAACACTAAAAACCTAGTCGACAGTTTGAATCGAGACTTCACCTTACAGGAGACAAAAGATGCGATCAAGAAACTGAAGAACAACAAGAGCGTGTCCGATGACCTGATATCAAACGAGATGCTGAAAAACTCCAACGAGCAACTCCAACTTGTTCTAGTTAAGCTTTTCAATGCCTGTCTTCAGTGCGGAACCTACCCTTGGAACAACTCTATCACCACTCCACTCCATAAAAAGGGTGACCGTCAGAACCCCGATAACTATCGGGCCATTACCATTGGCAGCTGTCTTGGCAAGCTATTTTCGAACATGCTCCTTAAACGGCTGATAGAATTTAGGGAAATAGCTTATCCCGACCGACCGTATCAACTGGGATTCAGGAGTGGAGCACAATGTAATGACCACTTGCTCACCCTGAACACTATCATAGAGAAATATGTCAAAAAAGAGAAGAAGCGACTATTTGCCTGCTTCGTCGATTATCGGAAGGCATTTGACAGTGTATGCAGGGATGCACTTCTGTTCAAACTGGGCAACATGGGTCTCTCAGGCAATTTCTTCACTTGCATCAGCCACATGTATAACAACTCGTCAACCCGAGTTAAGCTGATATGATCCAAAAGCTCTCCGCTGCTATCGACGTTACCATCGGCACAGAACAAGGGCACCCGATGTCCCCTGAGCTCTTCAAAGTTTATATCCACGAGCTTTCCATCAGACTGGAACAAATCGAAGAGCTGAATGTCCCAATTTTAAACGGCATCAAAGTAAGCCACCTCCTATGGGCTGACGACTTAGTCCTCCTAGCACTTGACGCGTTCAGCCTACAAACGTTGCTGAATTGCTTGCACGACTATGCAGAAAAATGGGAGTTATCAGTGAACATCGAAAAAATCAGTGTGATGGTCTTCAATACAAGCTCACGAACACTTAAATGTTCTTATGGCTTTAAACTAGGAAGCCTGGACATTATACCAGTAAAAAGATACTGCTATCTCGGAATCCAATTCTCTCTGAATGGATCGTTTAAGCAAGCTATCGACGAACTTAGGAAGAAAGCTCTACGCTCATTCTTCTCAATGAGGCGAATTATCAACACAAAAGCGCTATCTACCAGCACGATGCTTAAACTCATCGATAGTCTAGTAAAGCCTGTAGCGACCTATGCATGTCCCGTCTGGCTCTCATCAACAAACATCGTAAAGGCTATCCTGTCGAAAAAAGAAGAAGTGAGCCTGCCTAAATCTGCAGCTAAAGATCCTCTCGAAACAACTCATCTGAAGATTCTCAAATGGATACTGTACTAGGCGTTCACAAGAAAGCTAATAACAACTTCTGCTATGGTGACACTGGTAGAACCCCCTGAACAGTTACCGTCATTCCCCAATGTTTAGCTTACTTCCATCGGGCATCACTGGCGGTAGAAGGTAACGTGAACACTCTTTTGCACCACACCTTTCAAGAGCAAAAGCTACTGAATCTAACCTGGTATGATGCTTGGTCAACTATTGCCAAGATGAGTACAGTCTCCAAGCCGCAGTTATCACCCACCCTAGACGCTTGTGAGTACATACATGAGACATTTGTTGACCATTGGAAGAGAGATCTCCTCAACCAGCCCAAAATGTCTTTCTACACAGCGGTTAAATTCGAGTTTGGCGAAGAACCCTATTTACAGCTCCCCTGCCGGCTTAAAAGGGTCAATATTGCTAAACTCCGATCTAGCAGTCACGATCTTAGGATAGAAAAAGGTCGCTACACCAAAGATCAACTCAACACAGCTCTTAAAACGTGTCGCTTCTGCTGCTCCTCAGAAACGGATGTCATACATTTTTTAGAGGAGCTCCCCTCCTTTGAAACTCCCATTCTAGAAACCGAAGACCACGTCCTAACTGAGTGCCCCTACTATAACCATCAACTCAGGTCCAACCTCTCTGACAACCTCAAAAGTCTGTTGATGCTAAAAGAATATGGAGCAATAATGAACTCACCCCATATAAAAGGTTTCGGGAAGTACCTTACAGACTCCTCAAATCTACGTAATCCTCCTAAAACGTCCCTTATAACCCTCGCAAACAGATGTAGTACTCGAACTTTATTTACTGTATTACCTTAAATTATTATAGACGATCTTCTTTTATTTTCGTGAAATTGTAAACGGTTAAATTTTATTATTTTTAAATGATTCAGTTTTGATAATTTTATTTATTCATTTATTCATTCTTGTATAGCCAAAACGAGTCCGTTAGTGTTCTCTCTGGTAATCTCATGTTTAATCCTGTTTAATCCTGTTTATAGTGAAACGACAATGGGGTCACGACGTGATACAACAATTATTATTACTATTGGTGATGTGATCCATGGGTTGAATATAACCGACCTAGAAATCTTTTACCGCGCTCAGCCTGTCATTCCGCCGAATCTCTTGAATCACGTGGTGACCCCCACGGTCGCTTCACTATAGTGAATCGTCTTCGACGATATACAAGGGGGGGGGGGGGGGGGGGGGGGGGGGGGGGGGGGGGGGGGCCGCGCACTTCGTGCGCGGCGGGTCATACAACGTATGACAACGAATCTCTATGTTAATGAACATGATAGCCTGAGGTCCCCAGGTAAAGAAATCTAAGAAATGAGCTAGATCTGTAGTAGAGTTCATATGACAACTTTGCATATACAAGCTATAAATTAAAAAGTGAACATGATCAATGATCCCGCTACTGCAATGAGAAGCCTCCTTAAAATTTATTCGGGTTAGTCTTAGAAACGACATCTGGGTCCCTACTCTCGCACAAGATTATTCTCAATTTTCTTGTTGTGTTCCACAACTTTCTCGTTAGTCATAGACAAAGAAAGTGAGAACGCCTGGGCTATAGACATAGTTGTTTCAGTCAGATTAATGATATTTTCTAGACAACGCGATTTAATGATACAAATACAATTCCGACGTTGTAGTTGGACTTGGATATCGCATAATTTACCATAGGCATATATTCTTTTGTATCACGTCGTGACCCACATTGTTGTTTTACTAAGTGTCGTATCACTAGTAATAGTATCGTGGCGAAAGCCACGATACAGCCGTGTACGTACTACCCGTTTAGTAAACTAAGTTTAACACCACATGCTCGTTATCTTTCGCTGCGATTTTGCCTAGTTCGAGTTGAAGTTAGAGTCTCGATTTTTGGCGATTCTCTTTTGTCCTTGCGTGACGCCAACGGTATTGTGATTACTGTATCGAGTGAATACACATCCGGATCTAGACTGTAATTAAAGTTTAGTACCAACAAGCTTCAACTTCAAGTGTATTCATACCTCAGATTATGGTAACTGTCGGACATCTGCGCAGAGTTTCAAGTTCCATCTGGATTCTTTACGACAGCAGTTGTGAGCTTATAGTTATACGCGATATTAATGTAGAGCAGGTGGAATTTCTCAATCTGGTAAGATGGTTGACAATTTTCAAAATCTAGAATTATCGGGTGGGTAACGAATATGTAAACATTTTTGAATTTCAAAACGGAAGATTTAAAATAAGGTCGACATTAAATTCGCAAATACGCCTTATTATTATTAATATAGATAACCTTCGTCTGATTCTATTCGCCTCATCAGTCATCGTGCTACTGCTACTGCTATCCCTTACAATGATTTTCCAGCATCCAGAATTTTCTCGTTTTCATCCATGATATATTGTTATTGTTAACATTGAGCAATAAATCGAATCTGTAAGACTGTACTAGAACTACAATAGTGCATTCAGCGGTGACTTTGAGGAGCGAACGTGTATTTTCTAACTTTATAAACCTAATGGAGAAAAACTAGATGTTGTATTAAGGGTTCTTTTAAAAGAATGCGTATTCATGATATAAATATGAACGATAAACAATCGTATAGCTACATCATGGCTGCTAATAAAAAATTAAAATCAATCCTATACCAACAAGAATTTCGTCATCTTACTACATATAAAGCGAGACGATATATATATATATATGGATCCGTACCATTTTACTGACACCACGGCATCAACTTTAACGCGACTTTCCGCAAAAACCGTAAAAGATATATAACTGAAACTTTTTTGCGACTGGGTCAAATGCTTTAATGGCCTCCAAATCAGCATGAAGAAATACAAAATTAGCCAAGAAATAGGAGTTTTAGAGCCCAAAATTTGGACCCCCAAGTGGTGTCAAAAACGCGAATTAAATAGGTACGGTATTAATTATTTTAGTCTCTTGAGTCTTAAGGTTATACGGGTTCCTGCTAGTATTTTTAAACATTGTCTGAGGTCAGATTAATAGTAATAGTAATACGTCCAATAATTATACGAACAAGAAACGCTCACTAATATAACGAAAGATTTTTACTGTACATTTTCCCCTTAAATTCAATAATCCCTTCTAACTTTCTAAACCTAATTGTCGTTAATACTTAACCTTAGTTAGTAGCTGCCTTTCTCAGTATTCTTCGCTGAGCTCTTGGACTATTGCCTTCTTGTTCCAGTATAGTAGGCACATCCTTGATGATACTACAGCGACTAACAGTGTCCATGAAGCACGGGGACGCTAGTCTAAACGTGTTGTTACTAACATGGCAGGTGGGTCCAGCAATGGATAGTCTGCACATTGATAAGTACTCGTGGCTCGGAGATCGTGGAGCTTTAAAGGTTGGTGTGCGAGATGGTTGAAGGGAGGATCTCACGCTTAGTGTCATGTGAGTTTGGAACCTCTCGTTCCGCCTGAAATAAATGGAATGTTAGAGTAAAACGAACAAAGTATAATTCAGAGCCTTCTCTTGCTGTTACGGCAGATTTTTAGAAACATTAGAATAAATTATATTCAAGGTGTTGAACGTTTCACTTGGAAATTGATTTAAATTAAATATCAACGAGGTATACAGGCCGGAACTGACTTGATGAGGATTGAGCAATAAGCTAATTAGATAAGAAGTAAACTAACACGATTAGTAATAATTAATTACTAATTACTAACACGATTAGTATGATAGGGTTAAGAGCAGAAGTGATAAAGTGACTGAGGGTGTGCGATGAGTAGAAGAAGATCTCGTCTTTCCTCAGCGCCGTGTCATCGTGAATTTCCCTTCCAAAGATCCACTGAAATAACAATCCATTAACAATCAAGGAAGAAATATCTTAAAAGACGACCTTTAGATTATAACCAAAGCCTGGTAAAGCGGATGAGCCACAATTCAGCCAATTCATCAGATCACGACATCACAGTAACCATATAACAATTATATAACAAGGTGCACCCAATCTTTATTGTTCTGGACCTGATGAAAGTAGAAATGAGTGAGGAATGCCAGGTTGAATACCAGGAAGATAAGGGTGATGATCACAACCGTGATGGTACTTTTGTTTCTCTTTCTGAAGGATCTGGATTTTATCAGAATTGAACAAGTCACCACACCTGTAAAAGGTTTGAAATGTTTAAATAAAAAGCTTTTCAATAAATGCTGATTATGGTGGTGAGGTGAAGCATTTTTTGACACGTGACATCGTAACCATTGTTAACCAATCAACAAATGCCTCACCTGCCCTACCCACCAAAATCCACATCTATCGGTCGGTCACTTCTTTTAAGAATACTATTTGCCAACAAAACTACAAGAATATCCGTAGTTGGTCAGTACGCACTGTACGAACTTTTAAAAGGTGCCGAACTGTACGAATTTAAAAAAGCTGTCGAGGAATTTTTACCGAATTTTAAGAAAAATATTTTGTTTTTTAATCACTTCAGTCCAAAAAATGTGTGATTTTTCTCCTGGAGGTTACACTTCAGATTTAAAATATTAACACGTCCGCACACAAGTTATACAATTTGTATCATTTGTCAAAAAACAAAACTTAAACCCCTCATATTTCAAATTATAAGATTTTTGGAATTAGCTTTTCGAAAATTTATGAGGCGAATTTTTCCCGAACTAATCCCGAACTTTTAAAAGGTGCCGAACTGTACGAATTTTTTACGACTTTTGTACGAACTGACCAACTATGAGAATATCAAATAAAAGCGAACTCCTAAATTTACGAACCACAAATAAGAACAGGTAAAGTGGGGAGAGCAAATGGAACTCCGTGAAACAGCATCTTATTGAGCATCTCCGACTGAATATCTGGTAAATACAACAAATAAGCAGTCCTCCAGGCTAATATGTCGAGGGAGTAATAACACAGTGCTACAGTAATCCACACTGTACAGTAGGAGAGAACAGAGGCGAGGATAGCGCTGTACCGGGGCTGGTAGAACACAGCCCTCACCTGGATTGTCTGGGTGATGCACATGGTACAGGTGATGAAGACGGAGGCTCTACAGCTCACGAAGTAGAGGAAGCTGTAGATTTTGGCAAAGAGAGAGGGTGAGAGTGCTGTAAACGTGTTTTCTAGTCCTTCAACTAGCTGGGTTCTGATCATGACGTAGCTCACCCCTGGATATTGGAGTATTATTTTTCCAAAATAGTATCTTGCCAGCACACGCGGGAAATTAGTGTGTATTGGAAAACCGAAATTGTTATGAAATTATCATGAAACTTGTTAATAGATATTAATTATTGGCGATAATCAATGACGATAATTTGTAAATTGAAATTATATGTTTAAAACAATAAAAGCACCACGCACAGAAAGCAATATGTTTTCAAAACTAAATCCCCTCCTTTTTTATATCGCAATCAAAAATTTGCCAATGATACCTGCAGCACAGATCCCAACCACAAGATCAGAGGAAGTAAGAAATAAGTACAACATTGCACTTATCCTCAGTCTGAGAGGAAAGTAGTATATCACCAGCAATGCATTCCCTGAAACATATCACTTTTACGAATTTGACAGGCGGAGGATAACCGAGTATCATTATCAACGATATTATCAATGATCAAACTGAAAATGTCTTAAAGGATTCATGTAATGTGGAATATTTGAGCGGAAATCTGTATGGATTAGCAGTTATTATGTAATACTAACATGTACACAATTAACTACCCAAGAAAAAGTACAGATTTCACATCGCCACATACCGACGACAGCGAAGAAGCTTGAGAGAAGGGTGACTACGCTGACAACAGCGTACGCAACCAGGATGTGTTGCGGAACTGGACTGTCTCCGTAATCTCCGGGATAGTAAACACCAACTCGATGGGTGGTGATGGTGGTAGGAACACTGACATTCATTTTGAGGATCTCCCTTATTTGCTGTCACCTGATCCTTCTTAAAGTTGCAGTTTTTGCGCTTAGACGAGAAAACTAGTTGTAGTAGTAGTAGTATTGTTACTGTTAGTACTACTACTATTAGTGTTACTCTTTTGGCTATGATATCTTCTTTCCAAGCATAACGAATAAGTTTACGACCTTTCCTAATTTTGAACTGAATCTTAGTAGTTGTAAGATCATATGCTTAATTAGTGTCAGCAGTGTGACAAAACGATTTAGTTTATGGTTCATTAGAATTGAAATTATTAAATTATCAGAAAAACCTAAGATAATGATATCATCTTAAACCATACACCATGCAATTGGAACTGCAAAAATGACAAAATTTGGTAAAGTGCACTATATGAATTTCAGTTGATACATCAGGTGCTGACACCAATCAAATAAAAGTCTATCAAACTACCTCATCGTAATTGGAACACCAATACCTAAGAAAAATTACGTTAATAGTGTCAAAAATTCTGTACAAAATATTTTAATTGGTGTGCTAATTTTTATTTGAGGTGAAATTCGCCACTTAAGGATATGAAGTTTGAAGCCACAATAATGTGAGAACATGACCATAACATTAATAGCTGCCAGTACCGAGTACCTGCCAACCCACGACTGACTGGCTCCAAGAAGTGGGGAAATAATGTGGCTAAGAACTGGCTATAAAAAAACTATATAATATCTAATATCTAATATCTGTTGCCATGCCAACAACTGCGACAAAGTACAAAAAACAAAATTATAGCCGATTGAAATTATAAGCTGTTGGTTCAAGGTTCCGATTTTAGTTATATCCCGAATTTCTCAATAAAAGTAACAACTCTACAAGGCGATTCCTAGATAATATTTATAATATAGACGATAACACAGAGAATATGCATCCATGTAGTCCAGAACTCGAGTAGCAAGTGATATTAGACATTATTAAGATACTGAACCATGTAGTTCTGAATTCTAAACTTATAATATAGACCATGATCTGTTCTCTTTATAAGAAGATTACTAACCACTAATAGCTATGATTTCAAGAAGAGAGCCTATTAAAGTACAGTAAAACCTCTATATACTATGCCACTTGACCGCCAGACCACAGTCCGTGCCACTTTTCCTGCTCATTCCTTTTACCCGATTTGTAGCCCGGTATAGAGACATTCTAATTCATTAGAAATAAAAATCGTTTAATTTTAATAAGCATAGATTATGATAATTTTAGGATCGTAAATATAAAATAAAAATGCAAAAGTTGTATGAAACCATAATTATAAAAAACGAAAATCGTGTGACCCAGATATATAAGATGTTATCACATAAAGTATAATATACTAAAAATCTACAATAAAAATCAAATTATCTCTAAAACTTAAAAGAATTAGTAATAATTGCAAAATCATTATGAATCGAAAATAATTGAATCCTTTAACACCTAAGAACAAGACTAGATATGACTAAAACTTTAGACCTAGCTCTAGATCTGAATACACCTACAGAGCCTAGCGAGATCAGCAGAGCTGGATGAGGTCAGGAGATCCTGGCGAGATCAGAAGAGACCAGTGATATCCCCGGTATCAGTATCCACATCTATGTTATAGAAGGCAGGTCGGGTGGGTAGGCCTGGCATCGTGCTGATCTGAAACAACTTGTGGTAGAAACTAGAGAGACATCAAGTGACAGATTCCTAGATCTCAGAACAGTTTTACGTATCTTACAATTATATCTCTCAATTATATTATAATTGAGGACTTAATTCATGTCACATATATTATGTAGCATAATAATGCTAATACTGACAACAATTTGTTATGAATTGCTTTGGCTTCACGGGGTTAATTGTTACAGATTAACGTGTAATTAGTATAATTAGTATTACATTTGCTGCACGATTCAATTTTAAGATACCTGGAAGTGGTTCATTGATAGAAATATATTTTAATTGTTGAGACCACAATAGTCCGGTACAAGCTGATAAGGTAAGTGAATAGTAATAAAAATAATATGACACATAAAGTGTAATATAAAGATTGTAACACGAGGACTAATACAACTTACGGTTCCAGCAAGGGGGTACACAAATCCCGCTCCAGCACTCAGCCTAACATCCTGTATAGGAACCTTAAACCCAGTGGGAACTCCCTTCTTACTGACATCACAACTGAGGGACAAGTGGGTTTTTGCCATACAAATCGGGAGGTTTCCGTATCCCTGAAATGTCGCGTTTAGAAATAGTTGAAAAAGGTTACCAAAGTTATGGTCATTAATTAAAGTTATGATCATTAATTAAAGTTATGATATTAATCAAAAAGTTATGATTTTATCTTTAGTCCAGATTATAAAATATTAGGGTATAGCTTATTTTTATATAACTTGTAGGATCAATGATGAATTCTGTTAAGTTAAAAAATCGACCCGTATTCAAATTGATGAAAGGTGAAACCGCAAAAACACCAAGTTTAAATCAATTTGGGACATCAGCCTTGATAAAATTATCTCTTAATCTTGACCATGCGTGATCATTGCTCAATGCTGTGTATCATCTTACGTTTTGTCCCGTTTGTGATTTATTTTGACGATAAATAAATTTCGAATATGCCGGTAAAGACCATCTCTGTCGAAAGTCTTATAAATAAGTTTAGCGAAAGCCCACCTTTTCTGCTAGGTATTCTTTGGGTTTGGGCTACAACGATCGGAATGGTAAAGACTTATATTCTTTTACATCACTTTTCTAATAATTCATATTATGAAATAACTTCTGGAAATTGTGTATAAATAAATCATATTTCGTCTTCATTCACTTTAAATGCTATATTCCAGACCAATGCTGTATTCGGGATTTGACTCTGACGATTAGCTTTGCATTGCAGCCTCTCCGATTTTTCCTCTTAACCTAATACATTATTTGGAACTCCCAAAAACTGTCTATAATGCATTTCAGGTAGGCTGCCTTTCTTCTTACATAGGAATTTTTACTGGCTTTATCCCATCTGAAGGATTCCAATGTATCTCAGCGAAATGCGATGACCAGCTCACAAAGGCAATACAGCAAGGACAATCCGAACAATTTTACAAAACTGAAAACATTTGCAAGTCTAATTTGTCCCACGGAGAGGATTTCATATGGAACATTACACGAACCAGTTTCTCAGTAGAGCTGGACCTGTATTGTTCTCCCTCATCTCTGAGTCTGTACCACTCTGTACACTACATAGGATCCATATTAGGAGTAGCTTCAGGGTCCCTACTGTACGAGAGGGTGGGGAGAAGGCGGGTTGCAGCTGGTGGGGCGGTGATAATCACCATAGCAACCTTCTGTAGCACCTTTGCTACCAGTTTCACGGCCCTCATTGTACTGAGGATTTTACAGGGGTTGGGTGATCAGCTAGGATACCTGGGAGCATACATTTGGATCTTCGAGATGACTCCTATTCAGTATCGACCCTTTTATAACAGCTGGATTGCAGTCATGTGGGTAGTGGGATATCCGACTCTCGTCTCCATAAGCTATTTCATTCACAACTGGAGGATTATTTGTGTGGCAGTTAGTTTAGTTCAGGCATTTTGTCAACTTCCACTGCTGTTTTATCCTGATTCTCCAAGATATCTCATTTCAATAGGGAAATCCGACCAGGCTGCTAGCACCCTAAAACGATGGGCTAAGTTAGCAAAAGTGGACATAAATCTTGAGGGAGTGAAGTTGACAGATGGCACAGATGAGAGTGAAAGGGGTACTCTAAAAGAGAAGATGCCGTTACTAAAGCAGTTGCTAGAGTTCAAAATGTATCCAGGGATGCTTTTGGAGACAGGTTGCATTTGTTGGGCTTTTATGGTATCGGCTCTTCTCTTTTACGGTTTGGTATATGGTTGGGACAAATTTTGTGACTCCCTGTATGTGACATATTTGTATGTTGCAGTAGGTGAGCTGATTGCTAATGTTAGTGTTATGCTGGTTCTGAAGGTGGTCGGACGTAAAGTGGCTTTGGTTTCCTTCTATATTGGTGGTAAGTTTTGTGGTGCTGTTTGCGATTTAATAATTCACCTTTCATCAAAATTTACAAATGTATGTTCTTCAACGCCCAATGGATAAGTTAGTTAGCCGTTTCTCATCAATTTTACATAAAATCTCGTTTCAGCTTCGCTGTGTTTCTTCCTTGGTACGATCAACAAGAGTTTCTCCCCGCATTGGAATATGGAGAGGATAATGTCAATGTTTGCTTCCTTTTTCGCTGCCTCCAGCTTCTGTCTTATCTTTCTTCTAGCTGGGGAAGTGGCTCCAACTACACACCGAGGGTTGATATCGTGTGCAGGCTCTCTTTTCGGACGAGTTTCCGCATTTTTTGGCCCTCTCCTCTCAGCGGCGGATTTGACCAGTATGCAGAGACTAAGTCTGTTTGGGATCCTCGCAGCGAGTTGTGCTCTAACTTCACTGGTACTACCGGAAACCAGAGGTCGGCCGATACCGGAAACGGCAAGGGACGTACGAGAGAGACGGGATGATCAAAAAGTGATCTTAAAGTTGAGGAACAGGCTTTTTTCATGCTAAAAGGGCGAGGATGGAGAAAAATACTATTACAGATTACTCAAATAATAACAATTTAATTTTTCGCTATATGAAAATTTTGAAGAAAACGATTTGCGTGTAGTATTTTATAAAAATTGCAAATTAACGAGTAATGATTAAATTTGTTGCCATTTGATAACGCTAACATTTTCTATGTAATTAACAATTGATAAATAATTATGACGATAAATAACGTACATGGCGATATAAAATGTTTGACGATATACAGTTCGCAAACAGAGTACTCAGTAATGCCCTAAGCTATATAAAGCAATTTTCTGGAATTTGAACCTGATTTTCCAAGTTTTTAATCTTATCAGCTATCTCCTCCGAGATCTCAACCCCCTCTCCGCCGTATATCTTCTGTACAATGATGTTCATCTTCGAGATTAGAGGTTGTTCCAAGTCGTACAAAAACTGGGGAAATGATTGCATGGAAATGGGCTCACGATTGAAGCAGCGTATGGAAAAGAGCTAATAGAATTATAAACATGTATTACTAGGTCCGACTACAAACTTATTAGACCAGCAATATAAAAACTCAATAGTTTCATTTCCAGCCAATGCGCCACTTTGATTTGAATCACCAGCATTTTACCCTTTCTTAATAATTGACCAGACTCACAACTCTCATCAACTAATAAACTAATTAGTCAACTAATTGATCACTCACCTTGAAATTAGAAGGAGTTTTACAAGCGTTCACGACAGCATGAGCCAGATTGACGGCTCCCTCGCCCCCCTTTTCCCAGTGTTCCGCAACCTGTGCGTCAAATGCTCCGCTCTTCAGAGCGTGTTTCCGGACCATCTCCAACTCTGATTCCGTATCAGTGTGGAATCTGTAGAATGGTGAGTGAGGCATTATTGTGATGAAGACGTGAGTTGTGACAAAGAAAAATTATTATGCTTGTTTATAATATTTCTGCGTTGAGCGGTAAACGAACGTCCGTCGAATTCGAACGTAAATTTGTCGAGAACTTACGAAATTGTCTATATTAATACTAAATACATACTCATAAATCTATAATATTATGCTATAAAATGTCAATACCGACCGATTAATAGCGACCACACACGGTGCCCCGAACTGGGTCACATTCCCTATCTGCTTGGTCAGGTGAACGAGACCCTTGGAGAGCAGTTCCAAGTTCTCCTCTTTATACTCCGGAGCTAGTCCTCCTCCAGGTGTAACCTAGGTCACGTGGTGTTGCTAACACTGTTAGAAAGTGTTACTAACACTGTTAGAGAGTGTTACTAACACTGTTAGAGAGTGTTACTAACACTGTTATAGAGTGTTACTAACACTGTTAGAGAGTGTTACTAACACTGTTAGAGAGTTTAGAGAGTGTTACTAACACTGTTAGAGAGTGTTACTAACACTGTTAGAGAGTGTTACTAACACTGTTATAGAGTGTTACTAACACTGTTAGAGAGTGTTACTAACACTGTTAAAGTGTGTTACTAACACTGTTAGAGTGTTGTTTTAAATACGAACTACCTTTTTCTCTTTTTATCAAATGATATGCCGTATTCAAGGTTTTTAAAAATACGCGTATAATTCGCCAAATTTCCACTCCAAGTTTTAATTTTTTTGTTAGTTATTCCTGACATGGTGACCGCGCCTGCTAGCTCACTGGCATTACTATTATTATTAATCAGGATCGTACATACAAAAATTATTAATAAATTAATGATCATTAAGTTAATGCGGTAATCTGTACCGGTACAAACAATGGTTTATCTTGTTTTGAATTAAAAGGCTAACCTTCTAATTCATTTTTTATTTTTGTTGTAGGAGAAGTTGATTATGCATTATATATTGTCTTATTCGTAATTGATGTAATTAATGAGGTATCCTCCACCAATTAGTAGACAAACCCTAGATACTATAACATAACACACAACATATTACAAGTGTATAATATAACAATAACTCCCGTTAACCGCGGAAATGGTCCTTATAATCACAACAATTAGAATGTTGCGCAGGCCTAATAAACCTTTGCAGCTCGGTTAATAATGAATACCATTAGTATTATTGTTTACTGTTAAAGTCATTATAAGTTTTAGTCAACAAATGCAGTTGCTACTGGTGACAAATTGTGCTGCTCTCGTAAGTTTCAAGCAATTTTCACGCAATTTTCACGCAATTTTCTATAATAATTGATACAAATTACCGTCGCATTAAAAGTCGTGAAAATTGATGCATTTATTTTATTATATGTTTATATACATTTATATACATAATAAATATTCTGCCAGTATCAGAGGTTCATATAAATTTGCCACTTCCAGTTCATTTCATGAGCATACCTATTTTTGTTGTTGTTGATCAATAATTTTTAATTGAAATTTATTCGACTTTTTGAGATAATGTCCTTTCGCCGCGCTTTCAGTTTATTAATGTTCATCATTGCTATCAATAAAAACCCGCGCCCAAGTCCTGGGCTAAAGTTGGATGCATCATAAGTTTATTTACGATGCAATTATTTTGACAATGCAATTATGCAATCATTTTGAAAACCTATTTTGACAATAATAATCCTCTGTCTTAGAAGAGTACCAATCGGCTGGAAAACACCGCACAAAACAATGTAATAAAAGTTAAATACTCACATTAGGACCTCCACCGTGCATTTTAAGAGCCCTAACAGTGCAGACCAAGACAGCAGCATTGGGACGGAGCCCACTGTATCTGCACTTGATATCGAAGAATTTCTCACCACCAATGTCGGCTCCAAACCCGGCTTCCGTACAAACGTACCCATCACTTCCGACCAGTTTCAGCGCCATCTAGCAGCAGAGATTTATAAAATAATATCATCTTTAAGTAGGAATGTTTGCTTCGATAGAATAGTGGATTCTTTAATTTTTCATTGGTTAAAGGTGAGAAATCTATCAATTTAAAGTACATTTCATGATACATAGTTATTCTAAATCACATCAGAAATACGAACAATAAATAATTTCCTTAAAATGAAAACATTTGCTTCTTACCCTGTCCGCAATTATAGAAGAGTTGCCATGTGCAATGTTAGCGAAGGGTCCAGCGTGGACCATCACCGGGCTACCCTAAAGGGAATAAGAGGGTGAGAAGTGAGAAGTGAGAAGTGAGGATACCCTAAAGGGAATAAGAGGGTGAGAAGTGAGGATACCCTAAAGGGAATAAGAGGGTGAGAAGTGAGGCTACCCTAAAGGGAATAAGAGGGTGAGAAGTGAGGATACCCTAAAGGGAATAAGAGGGTGAGAAGTGAGGCTACCCTAAAGGGAATAAGAGGGTGAGAAGTGAGGATACCCTAAAGGGAATAAGAGGGTGAGAAGTGAGGCTACCCTAAAGGGAATAAGAGGGTGAGAAGTGGGGATACCCTAAAGGGAATAAGAGGGTGAGAAGTGAGGATACCCTAAAGGGAATAAGAGGGTGAGAAGTGAGGCTACCCTAAAGGGAATAAGAGGGTGAGAAGTGGGGATACCCTAAAGGGAATAAGAGGGTGAGAAGTGGGGATACCCTAAAGGGAATAAGAGGGTGAGAAGTGAGGATACCCTAAAGGGAATACGAGGGTGAGAAGTGAGGATACCCTAAAGGAAATAAGAGGGTGAGAAGTGAGGCTACCCTAAAGGGAATAAGAGGGTGAGAAGTGAGGATACCCTAAAGGGAATAAGAGGGTGAGAAGTGAGGATACCCTAAAGGGAATAAGAGGGTGAGAAGTGAGGATACCCTAAAGGGAATAAGAGGGTGAGAAGTGAGGCTACCCTAAAGGGAATAAGAGGGTGAGCAGTGAGGCTACCCTAAAGGGAATAAGAGGATGAGAAGTGAGGCTACCCTAAAGGGAATAAGAGGGTGAGAAGTGAGGATACCCTAAAGGGAATAAGAGGGTGAGAAGTGAGGATACCCTAAAGGGAATAAGAGGGTGAGAAGTGAGGATACCCTAAAGGGAATAAGAGGGTGAGAAGTGAGGCTACCCTGTCAGGAATAAGAGGGTGAGAAGGGAGGATACCCTAAAGGGAATAAGAGGGTGAGAAGTGAGGATACCCTAAAGGGAATAAGAGGGTGAGAAGTGAGGATACCCTAAAGGGAATAAGAGGGTGAGAAGTGAGGATACCCTAAAGGGAATAAGAGGGTGAGAAGTGAGGATACCCTAAAGGGAATAAGAGGGTGAGAAGTGAGGATACCCTAAAGGGAATACGAGGGTGAGAAGTGAGGATACCCTAAAGGGAATAAGAGGGTGAGAAGTGAGGATACCCTAAAGGGAATAAGAGGGTGAGAAGTGAGGATACCCTAAAGGGAATAAGAGGGTGAGAAATGAGGCTACCCTAAAGGGAATAAGAGGGTGAGCAGTGAGGCTACCCTAAAGGGAATAAGAGGGTGAGAAGTGAGGCTACCCTAAAGGGAATAAGAGGGTGAGAAGTGGGGCTACCCTAAAGGGAATAAGAGGGTGAGAAGTGAGGATACCCTAAAGGGAATAAGAGGGTGAGAAGTGAGGCTACCCTAAAGGGAATAAGAGGGTGAGAAGTGAGGATACCCTAAAGGGAATAAGAGGGTGAGAAGTGAGGCTACCCTAAAGGGAATAAGAGGGTGAGAAGTGAGGATACCCTAAAGGGAATAAGAGGGTGAGAAGTGAGGATACCCTAAAGGGAATAAGAGGGTGAGAAGTGAGGATACCCTAAAGGGAATAAGAGGGTAAAAAGGGAGGATACCCTAAAGGGAATAAGAGGGTGAGAAGTGAGGCTACCCTAAAGGGAATAAGAGGGTGAGAAGTGAGGATACCCTAAAGGGAATAAGAGGGTGAGAAGTGAGGATACCCTAAAGGGAATAAGAGGGTGAGAAGTGAGGATACCCTCAAGGGAATAAGAGGGTGAGAAGTGAGGATACCCTAAAGGGAATAAGAGGGTGAGAAGTGAGGATACCCTAAAGGGAATAAGAGGGTGAAAAGTGAGGATACCCTAAAGGGAATAAGAGGGTGAGAAGTGAAGCTACCCTAAAGGGAATAAGAGGGTGAGAAGTGAGGCTACCCTAAAGGGAATAAGAGGGTGAGAAGTGAGGATACCCTAAAGGGAATAAGAGGGTGAGAAGTGAGGCTACCCTAAAGGGAATAAGAGGGTGAGAAGTGAGGATACCCTAAAGGGAATAAGAGGGTGAGAAGTGAGGCTACCCTAAAGGGAATAAGAGGGTGAGAAGTGAGGATACCCTAAAGGGAATAAGAGGGTGAGAAGTGAGGCTACCCTAAAGGGAATAAGAGGGTGAGAAGTGAGGCTACCCTAAAGGGAATAAGAGGGTGAGAAGTGAGGATACCCTAAAGGGAATAAGAGGGTGAGAAGTGAGGCTACCCTGAAGGGAATAAGAGGGTGAGAAGTGGGGCTACCCTAAATAGAATAAGAGGGTGAGAAGTGAGGCTACCCTAAAGGGAATAAGAGGGTGAGAAGTGAGGCTACCCTAAAGGGAATAAGAGGGTGAGAAGTGAGGATACCCTAAAGGGAATAAGAGGGTGAGAAGTGAGGCTACCCTAAAGGGAATAAGAGGGTGAGAAGTGAGGCTACCCTAAAGGGAATAAGAGGGTGAGAAGTGGGGCTACCCTAAAGGGAATAAGAGGGTGAGAAGTGAGGCTACCCTAAAAGGAATAAGAGGGTGAGAAGTGGGGAGGGCGTGTTGAACATTAAAATAACGCGTGTTAAAACTGGCCGCTATTTTAAGACACTGGAATTTGTCTGGATGATATATGTGAACTGGTATAGGAATTAAAAACGTGGCCAAAAATGTTAAGCGATCACCATCGACAGCTAATTCTTACTGACTGTAGGCGATGAAAGATGATTCGTTATTGACTAGGTAGATCCAAGAGTATGCGCCATTGCTACATTACCTACATAACATAATTTTCATTGATGATGCAAAATGTGGTAATATATTATAGCCTAGACACGTTCACCAGACCAATAGATTGTAACACAGGCCACGTTCCTTTATTATAGTCGAGATATTTTCACCCAGAACTTGAAATATTCAGTCGCCTCGTTAGTTTCGAATTTTCGCTTATATGATTACAGAAGGCCTCTATTAGTATTTGTAACACTCATTTCTTTTCGCTATTTTCGCTATTTCGCTATCGGTAACTTCATAAGATTTCATTTTCGTTGCACGATGTTTTCAGTTGCCTTCCTAAACCCAGTCTCTTTTCGAATTCTCTGCAAACAGTTTCACAACCATATTATATGATATACAGTAAAACCCCGATTTACCGCGGAGTTTGGGGAAAGGAAACAACCGCGGTAATCGGGTTCTTTATGTTCACAATATATTATACATATTAGGCCGTATTTGGGGGAAAGAAATAGGTAAATCGGGGTTTTACTGTATATCTGAGACAATAGAACAGACAATACAAGAGAAACGCCATCTTAGGACGCGAGGAAAGTTAGACTACATAGTTGGACAACATTAAATCAATTGCTTCTGTAACGTCCTGACTCCTGAACATACCCCACACCCCACAGCTATAATGTCGGATTACCACGTCTACGGTAACAGCACACACCTCCACCACACTGGTGGGGGTGGGTCCCACATTGGTGGGGGTGGGCCCCACTCTAACCACCTGACCCTGGCGTATGCTGCCCTCACCCTTCTCACTGTCCTCGCCTGCTTTACTGCCATCATCGGTAGGTTTATTCGTGTCCTCGCGACAGCATTTTAAAATATTTTCCTTGTTAATCTATAGTTAACTTGATCACTACAGCAGAAATTTGGAGATTTGAAGTAGCAGGTTTTTATAACAAGTTTATGTTTCGAGTACCTAACTAAGAAAGCTGACCCTCATCAGAACACTGTCATTAGTTAATCCCCAAAACTCCGGTAAAACTCCGGTAAAACTCCGGTAAAACTCCGGTAAAACTCCGGTAAAACTCCGGGTTTCACTCTATAAAACCATCACGTGCTCAGGTAACAGTATCCTGGTATGCTACTACATACCGAGAAGGAAGGACACAGCCCCGATGCTATACCTCTTACTTACTGTTACAGACCTTGTTGTCGGAGCATCAGCTGCAGGTAGAGTTCTAGTGGTGAGGTGCAGAATATTATGTATAAGAGACTGCAATTAACCAATTAGCTTCAATTAGCTTAAACCGCAGATTCTCTGACACGTGCCAAAAAATTGTGCTTCACTTCCCATCAGAATCCAAATCTTTCAGTTGTTGAACCTTTTTGGCTTCGGTTTTTAAGTTACATACTTATATAAATTCCTTCGACAACCCGCTCTAATCAAATATATGTCAACATTATGTTAATCGTAGTATATGAATATCAGATATCTGTAAATTGTTCATTAATATATGAACTTCTACTTCATTCTCTTATTTTATCATTGAGCAAACATTTTAATTGATATTTCTTTCCTAAATCAGGGGTGAGCTACGTCATGATCAAAACCCAGCTAGTTGAAGGACTAGAAAACACGTTCACAGCACTCTCGCCCTCTCTCTTTGCCAAAATCTACAGCTTCCTCTACTTCGTGAGCTGTAGAGCCTCCGTCTTCATCACCTGTACCATGTGCATCACCCAGACAATCCAGGTGAGGGCTGTGTTCTACCAGCCCCGGTACAGCGCTATCCTCGCCTCTGTCCTCTCCTACTACGGCAGCCTGATCGCTATAAGCCTGGCCTACTTCTCCATCGACATGGTCTCGTGTGATAACCCGTATTTTATCTGCGTTCCAGTAGCTCACCCCCACTTGCTAACTACTATTCTCTTCTACGGCATTCCTTACGCTCTCCCAACTGTTCCGGTATTAGCAGGAGGTGAGTTGCGCGGTTTATGTGTGGTCAGGTTTATCGAATTAGACATGGAGATAATTTATAGAATGGGGTAATATTATGAATAAACTTGGCAGTGTTTTTCCCGACGGTGGACACAGTCACTCTGTACCCCGAAAAACATGTAATCTATAAACGTGTTTCTGAAAGTGTGCATAGATAATTAAATCTGCAAGGGTTGGTTAAATGTGAACTCTCATACTGTAGTCTACAAATCTAAGGGTTCAGGGGGTTTCAAGGATGGTTCAAGACAGAAAACGAAGTTTTTAATTAAAAAATTTTATCTGCACTTATATCAAACTTAAAGTAAGCTGGAACCTTGTAAGCACTAAGCATCTAGTGGTCATGTGAGAAGACTGGGCCAATGAGTGAAAGGAGCTGATAATAAGTAATATTTCTGAAACGTGCCATTTTGGTGATATAATACTGATAATTCGTTGAATGGCTAATAGGATTATTACAGCCTATGCTATTTCCAGAACAAAACCCGACTTTTATGAATCTGAACGAGCTCTAAGACCAGTGTACAAAAATTCGACTGACTGTCAAAGTTTCAGATGCCAGCATAGATCCAAAAAATTCAAATATTTTACAGATGCAATCGGAAAAATTCCTTAAATCTCACGAATACATTCTATAGGTATTCTGACGTGCACGACCCTAATGAGATACAGGTCTCTGAGGAAAAGGGACAAGAGTGCGATCACAATTGTTATCATCACTGTCATCTTCCTTGTCTTCAACCTGGCCTTCCTCGCTCACTATTACTGTCATGAGGTAGGAACATGAAGTGATTAACTAATTAATATATTAATTAATTAATTAACCAATTGTGTACTTAATTAGTAGGTTGGTTCTTATTCAACCTTTTGAATGTATAATGACGACTTAAGGATCGTGTACATATAATGTAAGCCATGTATAATAAGTAGAGAGCTTGGAAAATGTCACGTAATACGTGAAGGATCTGCTTCTTCTTATCTCCTCTTATCTCCTTCATACTGATGCCAGTCCGCCACCAGTCCATACCGCTATATAGTGCCAAGGTTTACAACTCCTATTTTAACTACTAAGAGTGTAAGAGTAGTAAGTACTTTATACATGACCGGATCTAACTGCATTATAGGAGTTAAAATATACAGGCTGCGATTTCAGTCCTGTCCGTACGTTCCCATGGAAGTTCATTTACGCAGTTGCCCAGTTCCACCTACCAATCGGATGTGGAACTGCAACTCTCAAATTGACTGAACAACACCATAAATCATTGAAAAATACGTTAAATTTCAATTAAACAATATTACAACCATATTATATATATCCCCCTAATGAAATAACAATTCACCAGTGGATTTATAGTGACATGCTTCACGATGACACGGCGCTGAGGACAGACGAGATTCTCTTCTTCACCTCCCACACCCTCAGTCACTTTATCAACTCTGCTCTGAACCCGGTCATACTCATCGCGTTAGTAATTAGTTACTAATATTAGTAATTAGTTTTCTTATTCATTTTACCTTTTATCCGGTTTCTGTTGGTGCAAGTTTAAACTAACCCCGAACCTAACCCCAGGAGAAACAGTAGGTTCCAGACATACCTCTCAGTTGCAGTGAAACACACGATAACTAGAACCCTCACCCCAACCCACCTGGTCACCCCTCCTAGCCCCGCACCTCCAGAATACTGCTCCCTCTCCCGGCCCTCTCTTCAACCTAACCCCAGATCTTGTCTCATCACCAACGGCAACTTCTCCAGCAGGATCCGTCTCCAGCCCAACTCTTGTTTCGACCCTCCCACAGGTTTCAGGGATCAGAGCTCGCCTATTTTGTTGAGGATGAGCAACATTGGGTTTATGAGGAGAGTTTCAACGATACTGGACGATTGTGAAAACGAGGCCCCAGCAAGTAGGAGACAGTCAGTACAGGGCAGTAGAAAACAGTCCGAACTATCAGAGGGAAGGGAGCTGTCTGTTGGTTGTAAAATATCTGCTGAGGGTGTTATGGAGCACGTTTCCAGCAAAAGGAGGAGGACTATCTTTGCTTCTTGAGGTATTAAACGGCCAGGGAGCGTAGTTGGTTGATCATCGGATTTGTAATCGTAAGATTGCGAGTTCGAATCCCACTGCCTGCCTAGTCGTGGGGTGAGCGTCGTTGACGCTCTGCTAAGGATCCCGAGTGGTCTATGTAGCCCCACGGTTCACTCAGCCGAATGCTCGAGAAATCGGGTGTGAGGGTTAAATGAGGAGCTGTGCTTGATCAACACAGCGAAGCCTCGGGCGAAGAAAGTGTGGCATAGTGCCTTAACCGTTGCTGGCCTTAGGAACGATCCTTCGGATTCTTGTAAAGCTCTTCCTTGAAAGTGCTGGTTTACATTGTAATGCAGGTAATGCCGAAGTAAAATAACAAAGGTGGTCGACTCATTCGATGGCCTTGTTGCGTCGCAACGAATCCTCATAAGATAAGATAAGATAAGATATTACCTACCTGAGGGGACAGTAATCTCGCGACGAATAATTAGAGCAAGACTATGATATCTGAATATGAAGAGAGTGACTGACTATGAAAATATCTGAATAGGAAGAGAGCTCTTAATAATGATATCGGCGAATAGTTCTGATTTTGCCCTTTTAGTCAGTATTGAGTAGTAAATCCTACCTTTCCAAAATCTAAATGATTTGTGGGTTACGATGAACGTTTTTATTATTTATTATTAACTATGTACACCATATTTACTAATGCACACAATTTAGTACGCAGTATAGCAGCTATATGTACACTGAGATTATGTGCACTATTTATTAGGACATTTCACACTGAAGTGCAGATTGGTTCAATTTGAAACTGTGCAGTATGATAAAGGTGCTCAAAGGAGAGGCCATACCATAATAATGTGAAGTTCAGTGTTTTGTTTATTTACCAACTGTTTGCCTAAAATGTCACAAGTAGCTTCAGCCTCTCTTCCGAGCGGTGTAAAGACGTAAAACATACATTTTGTCACCGGTTTACAATTTACATCTTTAGTCTGCTAAGAGAGTCCAGGATATTTGATTGTGCGTGTTACTACGGGGATTCCGACCGAATTCTGGACTCTGTACTAAGTCTTTCGCCTTTAACATTACTTACAGAATTACTTGTTATTGGTAGTGGTAGTTTGGATAAAATGCTATTTTCTTGTTTTGCGATTTATTCTGCAGTGGCAAATATTAATATCTTTTTTCACAATTTAGCAACCTAGCTACAACACGTGTTTGACTCTTAACTTAACATACCTGTTAGAGTGTGTAAGAGTGTGTAACAGTGTGTTAGATTAATTGTTAATTAAGCTTACTGTTGATACTGTTGATACTTAAAGACATAGTACGATTGATTAAGACATAGTACGATTGACAGTTATGAAACAAAATTATTAATTGCCGTAATCATGACAGTTCCCAACAGACTATACACGGCTGGTAAATTTATTTGCACATGCTACACTGTAAGAGTAAGGACTAATAAAACTTAGATAGATATTGTATGATCTAGTTAGGCCACGTGAGTTTTGTGATCTTGGAGTGTCTGATGAGATTTCGGGCGTACGAGAATCCCTAATTACGTTTCACCGAATCCCAATCAGCTTTCAGACGATTTCGTTTAACTTTAATGACAACTGTAGTAAAACTCTAGAGACATATACTTTTCATGTTACAAAATATTGAATATATGGTGTCTCATAAACCCTATCATCCAATCTCTCAAAGGTTTGCAAAATCTTTAAAGCGTCGTTATACAGATACAGATTAAACCAATGCTTTGATCATATCAGATCAACCCTATCAGATTTCATTTATAAATGGACGGGACCTGCATAGACACAGGAGTGTAAAAATTGAATTAGTGCTGCAGAAATGATATTAAAAAATTGCAATGGATGGACATTTTACAGTTAAATTAACAGACTCAAAGATTAACTGTTAATCTTAGAGTCTCCCTTCATTTTCATTGAACCTAAACAGTGATAGTTGCTTAGTTTTCAACTCCCTAACGATAAGAACTGGTTGTAAAATTGTCTAAGTCTAGGTTAGGTGCTCCACGCTACCCTTTGCCACTGATAATACCATCTTCAAGTTTACCATTTCAACTGATTATTGTGCAATTGAAATACGAGTTTTAATTGTTAAGATCGGTTCGCTCCATTGATATAACAATTTCAGCATAGCCATTCTTGAGTTAGTCGTCACTCGTAGCTTGTTCTGATTTATCTTATGTTGGAAAATAACCTAATGACTCTGGAGTACTACTACTACTAATAGTTCTCCTTGCGAATTATAGAATTTCTCCTCTTTTAATTGCTATTTCTGGAATTGTCAACATTTTTATACAAACATTCTTGATAATGACGTAATTATCATAGCCCGAACAATAAATAAAGGCAACTGAAAAAGCCAACAAAAAACACTTCAGAAATGGGATCATGGGAGAAACTCGACGATGCAGGAAAAGAAGACCCAGACACTGACAAGGCAGCTACAGTAGAACCTCTAACTATAGACCAGACCGTTGATAAAATGTTCACAGGCATAAACCTCAAGTTGGTGTTAGTATTCATCTCGGCTGTAGGCAGTGTGTACGTGACCGCCGCGGAGACTTACATCACCATCTTCACCGGCTTTATACCCTACACTGATTGGGCTTGTGTCTCCGACAAGTGTAATGACCTTCAAGTCCAAAGTAATGCCTCCGAAACTTTCTTCAGTTACAATACCATGTGTGACAACAATTTGAAAGCTGATACAGATTTCATGTGGACCAGTGAGCGGACATCCTTCTCAATTGACTGGGGTTTCTACTGTGATACAGAAGCTAAACTATCAGTTGCTTCCAGCTTCTTTTTCATTGGAGCATGTATAGGCTTGCTGTCATCTACTGCTATATTCGACAGAGTTGGAAGAAGGAATGGTGCAATATTTGGGTCTGTCATAGCAGCATCGGCTACTGTAGTGGGAACCTGGATACCGTCTTATGAGGGCATGCTCGCTATCAGGATCTTTCAAGGGTTCGGTCAGTTTATAAACTTTACTGGTGTGTACTGTTGGGTTGTCGAGTTCGCACCAACCACTCTGAGGACCTCTATCAGCGCCCTCGTCCTTATATGCTGGTCTTTGGGTTACTTGCTTACTGTATTGATCAGTTATCTCATCCCAGTGTGGAACTACATTTTCCTTACACTCGGTATCCTCAACTTTATCCTGATCGCTCCACTGCTGATCTATCCCATATCTCCAAGATTTTCTTTAGTTCGTGGAAGGGAAGAAGAGGCAAAGAGAACCCTGGAAGCGTTCTCTCGTATCTGCAACAACGAGACCTCGCTAGACACAGTGAACCTCACCTACACTTCACGAGTGCAGAACTACTGGGAGCAGATCAAGGACTTCAAAAAGTACCCAACCATGTTGAAGGAGACCTTGCTGTGCATGATAACCTGGTTTGTAGTGGCTAACCTGTTCTACGGTTTCTCCTTTGGGTGGGGTAAAATATCAGATAACCTCTATGTCAGCTACCTGTTTGCTGCGCTGGGTAAAGTCCTGGCCTTTTCCCTGACCATACCCGCGTGTAGAGTGATGGGGAGAAAGAAGGCGATGCTCTTCTTCCTCGTCTGCGGTATTCTGTCCAATTTCCTTGCCATGCCTGACGTACAGATCAACGATAAGTGGACCCTGGAGTTCGTGGCCTGCCTCCTGGGTAGCATTGCTATCTCCGCTGCGTTTGCAGTCATCTACATCTACACGTGCGAGCTGGCACCGACCTCCCATCGCGGCATGGTCATGTCTCTGAGCTCCAGCTGTGCCCGAGTGGGCAGCTTCATCGGTACTTATACCAGTCTGCTATACGACATCACGGACAGACGGGTACCTCTGGGTATGTTTGCCGGGATGACGATCGTGTGTGGGGTGGCGGTGTTCTTCCTGTCCGACACGACCGACAGGAGGGTTCCGGAGACACCGCATGATGTGGAGGTGTTGACTGGGAACAAGAAGTATCAGCAGGTTCAGGATGAGAAGGAGATGTTGTGAACAGTGATTCATTAGATATGTAAATATTGAATACTATAGTGCAACCCTTGCATACGGCCGGGACTTCATTATCGCATTTGAAATACAAAAGTATAAACAGTGCAAAAGTTAAAACGGTGCAAGAGTATGAACACGCTCAGTTGAAACCGGCCGCATAAGAGAACATTTAATTATGGGCCCCTCACGTATCCAATAGTAATCTATACTTTAGTATCACATTTGGGGTTCAAAACCATCAATTAAACCACTTACACACACAACACACACACACACACACACACACACACACACACACACACACACACACACACACACACACACACACACACACACACACACACACACACACACACACACACACACACATACACACACACACACACACACACACACACACACACACACACACACACACACACACACACACACACACACACACACACACACACACACACACACACACACACACACACACACACACACACACACACACACACACACACACACACACACACACACACACACACACACACACACACACACACACACACACACACACACACACACCCACACACCCACACACACACACACACACACACACACACACACACACACGCATAACACACACACACAACACACACAACACACATTTTGGGATTATTAGTACAGATCAAGATAGTAGATCATTTTAGATATTTTCTGTCGTATATTTATCTTATATTGACGTAGTTTTAGCTTATCAATTTAACTTATCAATTAAAAATTGCGTATTATTGTTTATTTTATCACCACATCACAGGAAAAATTGGAGCGAAAGAAATCCCTGGTACCTTAGTTCCCAAAAATTTGTGTGCCATTATATTGAGCACAATTTATTTGAGCCCGAAAAATTTGGGCAGAAAATTTGAACTCATTTGGGCGACCGAAAATTTGGGCACAAATTCTTCGAAAAATGAACGATTTTCCACTAAAATTTCAGTTAGATATTTTCCTTAGTTCATTATTATTCCTTATTATTCCAGTCATTTTGCTTTCAATTTTAAGCATGTAGGTGGTAGTCTGAGTTGTTTCACATTATGAAATTTACGATCTGCCCAGTAACTACTAAAAAATACAGTGATGATGGCACAGTACAAAATGATAGATATACAATAGTGATATTTAGTCTCTCAATCAGATAGTTTAGTCTACTTACACTCAGCATATCTTATCATACCCCTCTCACATACAATTATCATTATGACGCCTCACCAGATGGTCGAAAGGTTTGGAAGAAAATTAGAAGGTTTACATCATGATCTATCAAACTAAGCGGCACATACGCTTAGCTTTGGGGGAAACATAATTGTGTGTAGCGAACTACTGTAAACTCAGACCAAAGGTCTTGAAGTCTAATTCCAGTTATTTCTATTCATTTAAAATATAAGCCTGTTTACTTGGTCAAGCCATGAATGACAGATTAGAAAACAAAAATTTCAAATATTATTTCACTTGGATATGAAGAAAAATCCATCTTTCTATAGATTTCAGGGCCACAGGCCAAATGCCAAAAGTTTGGTTAGCAAAAAATTTAGCAGACGGAAAAGATTTATGCAATTAATTTGGTCTGCAAAAAATTTGGGCGAGAGGCCCGCTCAAATTTTTGGTCGCCCAAATTTTTGGGAATTAAGGTATGTTTAACTATTCTAAATAATCTCGCTTCCTCCTATAAATAAACTAATTATCTTCATAGTTATGTAAGTATGCTGCATAGTGCATGCCTCAGTATGCTGCATAGGTGCATGCCTCAGTATGCTTAATTAATAGTTAATACCAATAATGGCGAGTACACACAATTACTCAAACAATAAAGTCTCCCATCCATAATTACTACCTATTCGAATGTACAGTGTACAGTGATTGTACACATCATTATGCCCCAAATTTAAGCCGATTTCTACCCAAATTCCTACGCCGTGACCAATATCATCCTGTCAACTATCTACCTCCATCCATGCCGACCAGAGATACAGGTTCTGGCCCTAAAGTCGTCCGACACCAACCATCCTACGATAAGATAAATTAGACTCTCTCGACTCTCGGTCAGGTCAAGATCCCAGCTATAAAGACTGTCCAGTGCCTGTTTTTAGGTTCAACATTCCTGATGATCTCGATTCTCGCCAGACGTGTCATAAGTCATTTTATCTGTTGGCAATTTGCCCATCTGTTACCTTAGCACTCTGTTAACCTCTCTCAGATCCCGTTAAAATAAGATTTTAATATCAAATAATTATAAAGTTATAATAACATTCCCGTTAAAATTTTAAAATCTGATGACATCTAAACTGATAAAGTGTGTTGTGCCGTTTCATCCCTTTCTGAAGACCGGAACTCGAAGTTCCACTTCAAATCTCTACTCATTAACGTAATTATTGACTGGTATTAATATTACACAACACTACTTGTAATAAACAAACTCGTTAACAGGTCATTTGTTCGTATTAGGCTATCCATTATCAGTATGAAATCTTGTGAATCGCCCCAGAACACTTCTAGAATTTAATTGAGTGCCATTCCTGACTCCTGTTAACAGTAACATACTGGTACCCGTTTCCAGGATTACTTGGGAACAGGGAGAAGCAAAACCACTAAAATTTCCTTGAAAATTCACTAAAATTTCTTTAACATTTCACTGTATAAAATTATATTTTATCTAGATAAACAGATAACTTTTATTGCCGAATTATCGGATATAATTATCGGTTACGATTATCGGAGTGGATAGCCTAGTTCGTATATGTGATTGCATAAATACATAATTAATGAAATGATCCAGATCCCCGTTTAATTAGGCAACATTTTTAGAATTTAACAATTACTCTGTACTTTAATACTGTTAAAAATTTCACCTTAATTGAGTCTAAATTAAAGTATACTATTCCACTCTAATTACTAAACAACTAATCTATTGGCAGAATGGTAGCCAAAATCGTACGTCACATATCGAAATCCCGTTAAAATAAAATTATAATGTCAAACAATTATAAAATTATGATAAAATTCCGGTAAAACGTTTAAAAATCTGATTAGATTTAATCAGCTAAAATTAGTCTCCATACTATACTGTCTGCACTGTTTCGCCCCTTTCTGCAGACCGGAACTCAAAGTTCCACTTCAAATCTTTACTCATCTTACTGTATATAAAGAGAGACGGTATTTATATATTTCCATATTCTAGAGACTAGAAAGTTTATTTACAACTTATTTCGTGAAAGATTTCCTAAAAGCAAGCTGTGATTTTTGAAGTCTCCATAATCAGTGTTTATCTTGAAATCCTTCCTTTTATTTTTGTTTGATTATTGAGTTTGTTTGAATAATTTATTTTAAAAACTTATTGACTTTTTGTTTCTAATTTCTAATTATATATCGGTTGCCACTTTACTGACACCATTATCTCGACTTTATTTTGTGATAAACTTTGTTAATTCTCTCTGAGACAACATTTTAATATCAGATAATTATAAAGTTAAAATAACGTTCCCGTTAAAATGTTAACATCTGATAAGATCTAAACTTATAAAATTTGTCGTGACGTTTCATACCTTTCTGCAGACCGGAACTCGAAGTTCCACTTCAAATCTTTACTCATCTTACTGTATATAAAGCGAGACGGTATTTATATATTTCCATATTCTAGAGACTAGAAAGTTTACTTACAACTTATTTCGTGAAAGATTTCCTAAAAGCAAGCTGTGCTTTTTGAAGTCTCCATAATCAGTGTTCATCCTGAAATCCTTCCTTTTATTTTTTGTTTGATTATTGAGTTTGTGTGAATAATTTAATTTTCAAACTTTTTTACTTTTTGTTTCTAATTTCTAATTATATATCGGTTGCCATTTTACTGACACCATTATCTCGACTTAATTTTATAATAGCGATGAACCATATTATTGAATTTTAATGCAGTTTTTTTGCCTTTATCATAATTGTGCTGTTTGCTTTCACTTTTAAAATGGAAAGGAAAAAATGAATATTCAACCTAAAATAGTGATTTTAGACCCCAAATTACGACTTCCCAAGTGGTGTCAAAAACAGAAAATAAATAAGTTTGATTTTAAAATGTTTTGACGCCCATGAAATGAACCCATGAAATGAATCCATATTAAGAAATCTATGTAATATAATCAACATGAGCGGAGAGAGGCGATGAGGCCAGAATGAGGTGCACCCAATATTAAGCGTCCAATGGACATGCTATCTGCTAGCTGTTAAGATAATACAGTAAAACACCAATTTACCGGGAGTTTGGGGGGAAGGAAACATCCGCGGTAAATCAGGGTTCGCGCGGTGAATCGGGGTTTTGTTTGTTTACATTATACATGTTAACCCTATTTGGGGAAGGGGATGGCCGCGGTAAATCGGGGTTATACTGTACTTAACTGGTATTAATACTACACATTACACAATACTACGTGGAATCTAAAAATAAACCCCGTTTATATATATTATATATTATATATTAGACTGATGAGTTTTTTTGCAATTTAAACAATTCTGATGCTGACGTTTCTGCGCAATTGAAAGACGTAAGAGGATTTCATTTTTAAGATCGGTTCGCTTCATTAGTCCATTGATAAAACGATTTTAGCATAAGCCATTTTTGAATCAGTTGTCACTAATATTTCGTTCTGTTTTTATCTTATGTTGGAAAATAACCTAATTCTAGTTCATGACTCTGAGTACTAATACTACTAATAGTTATTTTTTGTGAATAATATAATCCCAATATAATTTTCAGTCTTTTAACTGTTATTTTTTAAATTGTCCTAGCCCGAACAATAAATAAAGGCAGCTGAAAAAGCCAACTCGACAAAAAAACACTTCAGGAATGGGATCATGGGAGAAACTCGACGATGCAGGAAAAGAAGACCCAGACACTGACAAGGCAGCTACAGTAGAACCTCTAACTATAGACCAGACTGTTGATAAAATGTTCACGGGCATAAACCTCAAGTTGGTGTTAGTATTCATCTCGGCTGTAGGCAGTGTGTACGTGACCGCCGCGGAGACTTACATCACCATCTTCACTGGCTTTATACCCTACACTGATTGGGCTTGTGTCTCCGACAAGTGTAATGACCTTCAAGTCCAAAGTAATGCCTCCGAAACTTTCTACAGTTACAATACCATGTGTGACAACAATTTGAAGGCTGATACAGATTTCATGTGGACCAGTGAGCGGACATCCTTCTCAATTGACTGGGGTTTCTACTGTGATACAGAAGCTAAACTGTCAGTTGCTTCCAGCCTCTTCTTCATCGGAGCGTGTTTTGGCTTGCTGTCATCTACTGCTATATTCGACAGAGTTGGAAGAAGGAATGGTGCAATATTCGGGTCTGTCATAGCAGCATCGGCTACTTTAGTGGGAACCTGGATACCGATCTATGAGGGTATGCTCGCTATCAGGATCTTCCAAGGGTTCGGTCAGTTTATAAACTTTACTGGTGTGTACTGTTGGGTTGTCGAGTTCGCACCAACCACTCTGAGGACCTCTATCGGCGCCCTCACCCTTATCTGCTGGTCTTTTGGTTACTTGCTAACTGTATTGATCACGTATCTTATCCCAGTGTGGAACTACATTTTCCTTACACTCGGTATCCTCAACTTTATCCTGATCGCTCCACTGCTGATCTATCCCATATCTCCGAGATTTTCTTTAGTTCGTGGAAGGGAAGAAGAGGCAAAGAGAACCCTGGAAGCGTTCTCTCGTATCTGCAACAACGAGACCTCGCTAGACACAGTGAACCTCACCTACACTTCACGAGTGCAGAACTTCTGGGAGCAGATCAAGGACTTCAAAAAGTACCCAACCATGTTGAAGCAGGCCTTGTTGTGCACGGCAACCTGGTTTGTAGTGGCTAACCTGTTCCACGGTTTCTCCTTTGGGTTTAATAAGATATCAGATAACATCTACGTCAGCTACATATTCGCTACTTGGGTCAAGTCCTGGCTTTCTCTCTGAGCATACCCACGTGTAGAGTGATAGGAAGAAAGAAAGCGATGCTCTTCTTCCTCATGTGCGGTATTCTGTCCAATTTCCTTGCCATGCCTGACGTACAGATCAACGATAAGTGGACCCTGGAGTTCGTGGCCTGCCTCCTGGGCAACATCTCCATATCTGCTGCGCTTGCAGTCATCTACATCCTTACATGGGAACTGGCGCCCACTTCTCACCGCGGCATGGTCATGTCTCTGAGCTCCAGCTGTGCTCGAATGGGCAGCTTCATCGGTACTTATACCAGTCTGCTCTACGACATCACGGACAGACGGGTACCTCTGGGTATGTTTGCCGGGATGACGCTCTTGTGTGGGGTGGCGGTGTTCTTCCTGCCTGACACGACCGACAGGATTAGGGTTCCGGAGACACCGCATGATGTGGAGGTGTTGAGTGGGAACAAGAAGTATCAGCAGGTTCAGGATGACAAGGAGATGTTGGGAACAGTGATTTATTAGATATAATAAAATGGTAGCACGATAATTTTATATACTTTGTTGTGCTAAGAAGACAGAGACAAGTAGATGAAGAGATTTAACTTAACTCAGATATAAGTTATAAGTTAAGTTTTTAAATACTCTAATGCTGAATAATACTTCTTCACGAGATCAGTCGTAGTTATCAGTTGTTTTAGAAACATCTTTTGCTGGCCCATGCCTCTTTGTCATGTGAAAAACCATCAATTCCATATTTGAGAGTTTTTACAAATTTTTAAACATAATATGTATCATCACTATTGATTCTGCGTATTTACCATTACAATGTATATTAAATTGTATCTTATATTTACGTAAATTGCTTATTAAAGTTTCGTTTATCACCAATTCCCAGGAAATTTGGAACGATAAGAATTCCCTGGTACGTTGATCTATTTTAAATGATTCCGCATCCTGCCATGAATCAACCAGTTATCTTCAAAGGTCATTTGTTCGTATCTGCAACAACACAAAATACAAATTAATGAAATGATCCAGAGCCCCGTATAACGAAGCAACAATTTTATAGAACTTTACAATTACTCTGTACTTTGATACTGTTATAAATTTCACCTTCATATAGAGTCTAAATCAAATAACACTACTTCTCTTTAATTGACGCAGCGCTAATTAATCGTGATTAATTAGCGGGATGCTAGCCAAAATCGTACGAACGTCACATATTGAATTCCCGTTAAAATTATAAAAATCTGATAAGGTGGAGTGATTATTTCTTTGGAGCTGAACCAATTCTGATGGTGTTTCCTCCTTCTGTTATAATACCGGTCATGTTAAGGCTTTAAGGGGTAATATTATCTCCTCTGTAGTAAAAATGACCGAAATTAATGAATTTAAGACACCGTTAGGGCAATGAACAGTAATATTTTAATATTTATTTCCGATAAATCTACCCGTTTTCAATTTGTCTCGCTCCCTTCCAGTAATAATCAGGGGTAATATTATGTTCTTATCTGTAATTACCAAAACGCAAATTTAATAATATTCTGCAGAGTCCCTCAGGACAAGGTAACGCGGACAAGGTAACGCGAACTGATTCTTCTGAGAGCTACTATTTCTAACTCATCCCCTTACAATTCGTTAAAGCTTTTGAATCATGTTCCAGTTATTTAGCATCGTCGCCCTCTTCATCGCACCGTCTCTTGGAGACACAGCAAGTTTAAGTAGGGCTAAAGCTCTGAAGTTTGCTCCTAATAGCTTTATCCAGTATAGTCCTGATTGGAGTCGTTTAACCAGTGCCATATCAGTTTGTGCGTGGATTAAGGACATCGGGCCTTCCCCCACCGCGCATTCTTCAGTCATTACTCCAACAGAGAGCTGTTAATACTGGCTGATGGAAGTTACTCATGTATCTTTGGCTCATGTCAACACTGGCAAAGCAAGCACTCCGTTCCGAGAGGAACTTGGCACTTTGTATGCGTGACGTGGAGTTTGGAATCGAGGGATTACAAATATTATGTAAATGGAGTTCTGTTAGGGACAAAGCGAACAGCAGCAGGCAGGTCATTGAGAACTGGAGGCGAACTTAGTATAGGAAAATGGCATGGAACTAGTAGCAGCCATGACTTTGCAGGGGAAATGGCCTATCTGAATGTGTATGCAAAGGAGCTGTCCTCCAGTGAGATAGGTAGCATGATGGAGCTTGGAATGTGCAATATAGAGGTAGACGTGCACGAATCTTCTAGAGTGATAAGGTGGGAAGATTTGCTTAACCAAAGAAGGAGCGGGACAATCACCGATGTATACTTGGAAAATTGCCTTGAGTCGGTATTCGAAGAAACTGTAGAAAAGAGTGAAAAACTGGCCAGTGCAGAGAGAAAGCTGACCGAAACAGCTCGTGAGCTGACGGAGACTCGGGCAGAAAAAGGAAGGATAGAAGAAAAGCTGTCGACGGACCTAAATTCTACTCTCGCGGAGTTAGAGGAGACCCAGAGAAGACTAAACTCAACTCTGACTGAGCTAGAAGAGGAAACAGCCTTGAAGAACCGGACCTGGGACTGGCAGATCTTCCTCTCGGACCAGTTCCTGAACCAGACCTTCGCCGCGGAACACTCGCAACTTCTTCATTCGACTTGGGATGACATAGCAGGTTATTGGAAGAAAAGTCGTCACAATCATATTGTTTAGTTTAATTTTGAGATTGGTATTATTAAAAGAATAAGTCCAGAATAATTTAACTCATTACTACGCATGCCAAGCAACAGGAAACATCATGTACAATTCATAACACAACTAGCATAATGACAAAACTAATAATTTCAGAGAGACTTGTGGGCATCAGGATAACAGACGAATTCATCAAACTATCTGCCCACATAGACCGTGATGAGGACAGGCCCTGGTCAATACTGTATTCTGAGAATTATTTCAACGAAACATTTACCCGGGACATGGCAGACAGATTGACGAGTATCTGGGAGGGGATTAGTGGTAACTGGAAATATATTTTAACTGGCCACTTGAGTAGGCTACTAAGTATAGCCATAATTTCTTTCCAAATAACTGAACGTACTTTCTCTTCAAATGACTTAACAAATTTTATCCCTTCGTAACTTATTTTCTCCTTCGCCAGAAGTTGTCTAGCCTAACAGTAACACGCGCGCGTCCTTTTCCTGGGGAAAAATAGTTGAGGCCGAAACGTGAGTCAATGTTATCCTTATGTAACTTGGCTCCCATGATTAAATATTGAAAACTATTTCAGACAAGTTGGTGGGAGTAACTATGACGAAGGAAGTCATAGAACTTCTGGACTATGTCACGGACAAAACGAACTGTGGAAGCGGAGGTATTCCAGATGACTACAGCTAACTGCAGATGACTACAGCACTGCTCTGCAACAACGGGAATTCAGGGGACATAGTTATTGTGGAATGTGGACTGAAGCGGAACTTATACGCATGGTTTAACCGCGTAATTTAGTTGGGATATTTTTTAAGAATAGCAATAGCTATTGATTTCACAATGGATACATTTAAGGGCATGATCTTCCTTGATATCATAATCTTAGGGCATTTAAGGTGGATGAAAACTAATATGACACGCAAATTATATATAGAATGCTATAATTAGCAAAATTTTATTAAATTCCTCGGAGGGACTGAGCAATTTACTGCGTTCTGATTCCATTTTTAAAAACTAAGTTTGTCCATAGCATAGAAATTGGGCTGAACAGGTGAATTTATACATCATTTTAATTCTGAAAATCTATGTTTCCACTTTCTGTATTCGATTAGATAGTTCATTAAAAAGTTTTCTAAATAATAGTTTTATTATCGCATTTATTGAATTTGGCCATAAAAATGCACTTATCTGGTCGTAACTTGACTATAAGAGGACTCATCAACCCTCAGGGTTGAATATCAAGATCTTGCGAATCTGAAATAATCTACAACAAAAAACAAACTCCCAAATACACAAAATAAAAGTTGCACCTAAAAGATATAAAATAAATTAATAATTACCTCGAGTGTTTGCATGAGATTTGGTTTCAGAGCCTCCCTCATGAGAGCAGTACTTGCCCCGGTCACCCCCAAGTCATCCACTGTTACTGGCACATTGTCCACTGAGTATGCTACCACTATCTTACCAATCCTGGAAGAAGGTGTTACATGGGCCGGGCACGGTGTTACATGGGCACGGTGTTACAAACAGTGTTACATAAAGGTGTTACGCATGATATTTTTTTATAAAGGTGTAACTCTATAAGCGTGTGTCAATAAATTTCTGGACGCAAAAATATTTGATATTGGATTAAAAATCGTAAAACATTAAAATGTTCGTACCTGGATTTAAGATCGCTCAGATCAGTGGCAAGAGCCAGGACGGCCATGATTTCACTGGCCACAGTTATGTCCCACTTCGTCTGAAAGTTTGGTAATTTAGTGGTTTTGGGATCTTTTCAAATTGAAATAAATAGCAAGCTTACAATCATCGCCCCCCCCCCCCCCCCCCCCCGGCAAACACCCTGGACATTGGTGTGTAAAACTGAAAAAACTGCTCCGCTCTTCAGGATGTGTTATTTTTCTAAAATGTCACACCTAATATCATCCGAGTTACGGGCATCGGGCAATTGTAAAATAATCTGCTCTGGTAATTGATTTACAAAACTCAATACTTTATTAACTAACCTCTCTAGCCATCCCTTTCTCAGTGGGACTCTGCCCAATAGTTGCCTTCCTGAGAAACCTGTCGTTCATATCGAGTACTCTGTTCCACATTATCGTGCCCGGATCTATGTTCAGTCTGAGAATTGGAATACAGCTTTCAGTTTGGCTAATTGATCGTCAATTAGATATTTGCTTGATTTTATGGTTATTTGACGAAAGCTCGTGAGGTTAGTGCAACATTGTTGAGATTGTATCTCTAAAACTCACTTTTTTTCAGCAGATATTAATTACATTCAAATCCAACTGGGCCAACAAAAACCTACAATTAATGATAATGACCGTACCTAGCAAACCTGACCCTATCTTCAGGGGCCATCTCCTCGGGAGTTTTCCCGGTTATCCCAAGTTTGTCTAGTCTCCTTATCATAACCTGAGGGAGGGGTTTGCCGGGAGGGCACAGTCTCTTGAACAGTGCCTCGTCAGTTTGGGTAGCCTCGTGGAATATTCTAGTGTCTATTGCTGCGGCTGAAAATTTAGGGGTTGTTACTTTTGAAATTAAATGGAAATTATTCAGTTGATAAATTAAGATTAATTTGAAAACTTATTTTTTACGAAGGTTTACCATTCGCCATGTTAATTAGACGATCAATTAATTAAATATCAATTAGCATAGTTCACCCTTACCAACAAGGTTATGAGCAGTAGCAATAGCGTGAATATCTCCAGTTAAATGCATGTTGAACTCATCCATCGGCATGACCTGGATCTTACTAATAATTAAAACTAAAATTTTTTTCAAATAGAATTATCAAAATAGAATTATCAAAAGTTGTATAAGTCTAACCTTATAGCTAAGTCTAACCTTATAGCTAGACAATTACCACTTTTGAAATTATCTGAATATTGTTCGAACCGATTGACTAGGAAAAAGTACAAAAAAAAACAACAGAATTATCAAAAGTCAAGGAATGTTACAAAATTTAAAAATAGAGCACCTGTGAGTAACCCCCTCCAGCAGCTCCGCCCTTGATACCGAAGGTAGGACCCATGCTCGGCTGTCTGATACAAGCTATGGTCTGCTTGTGAAGGTGAGCAGATAGTGACTGAGCGAGTCCTATTGTCGTCGTGCTCTTACCTTCCCCCAGTGGTGTGGGGGTTATCCTGGAGTGGAAGCTACGGTTTAATCCCCATTTACTGTACTTCTTCCCTTTTCCAGATTTAAAAAACTTTCTATATTTTTAAGTGTACGGTAAATCGGGATTTTACTGTACTTGTATGGAGCATCACAAAATGAAGAATTGTAAACAGCATTTTATGGTGTTCGAACTCTGGAATTTAAAAATTTCAATTTTCAAACTAACAGAACACACAATGTGTCACTTCATATTTGTAAGGGTTCCGAACCCGACAAGTGTAAACACGAGGCTTATTGTAAAACTCACCCACAAACCAGAACGTAGTTCCCCTGTTTGACCTGTTTGACCTGTTTGGAGTCCAGCAATCCAAGCTTAATCTGAAACCCAGGAATATTGCGTTGGGGTAAAAAATCCCATATCCAAAAACCCGCATTCTCGCATTCTAAGAATGTAGGAAATTTTTAAAAGTAGGAAATTTTTGACAAAAAGTAGGAAATTCGAGAGCCAACTCTGAGAATTTTCGATAATATTTCAGTAGGAATTTAAGTGAAAGAGCAGACTAAAAGTTGCTGGACCGTTATTTAAATGTCTTCAGTCAGGGATCCACTGATCCAGTCTATCAAATTTCGTTTCACAGACCAAAGTTTGTTGCTATTAGCTACAAAATCTGTGCATCAAGTAACCACTAACCAGATGTTAATTATTGGGGCATTTTCGCGTACACGACATAAATAGTTGTCATTATTACTTTATTAACATTTTACTATCTACTTATCTAGTCTATGAAACCGGATATGTCTACAGTGTCACCCGATATCTGTATTGGCAAGCAGTAGCATATACACATCACGTCTTCAATGTGTGTATCAGGCGCGCGAATACAAAGACTTTTTATGCGAGCGAAGCGAGCGGGCCACAGAAAACGAAAAAATTGAGAATGTAGGAAATTAAAAATTTTTTGGATATGGGAAAAAAATGGGCTTTTATAATAAAAAACCAATTCATTTTGTAAGTAAATATTAGATTTAATCAATATTGGTTCATGGGACTGTCCAAGAAAAAGGTGTAGAAACCTTAGCTTTATACTCCCCGTATAACTCCACCATGTTGTCGGGTATGCCAATATCACGTGCTATGTTCTTGATCTTGTTCGGGGTTTGGGCCAGCGAAATCTCGCTGTCACTGAAATATATGATGTTGCCGGGTTGATGTTTCGATTATCTCATGCACCGGCTCAACATATTTTTTCGAACGAGATTTTATCAAAATTATCTCTGATTTTTGTATCACTATCCACTGTCGACTTTAATGATCGACGATAAAATCAGTTCAACAACGAAACATGAACATTTGCTAAATTCACTCCTTTAACAGCTCCACCACACCTCGGAACAGGATTGATTCTCCTGAGAGCAAGATATTTCAGATCCAGGAGGAAGATGTCCGACTCAGCTTCTCAGCACACCCCACTGTGTTCTCCATCAGCATCGCAACTGTCATCGGACCAACTCCTGTAACATTATTTTACAGGATTTAACGTGTTTACTGTCTCATCGGCGATGTTTTTTTCGTTTTTATTTTATTAAAATCGATCGTTTTTCATGCATTAAATTAATAAAAGCGTTGCCCTTTCTAATAAGGTTTCAAGGACTGGGTTCGGAAAACAGTGCTAGAGTTACGGTAAACCATCGTGTAACCAAACCTCGATGGCAGAGATTTCAGCCCGAAAATAATGGTAGCAAAAGCTCAGAATGTTCTAGCAGTTCTTACTCAGAATATTACCCATGCCTCAGTAGTCAGTACTCAGCAGTATATTATTATGCTCAGAAGGTTTCATAAGATCTTACAACTTACCTCCAGGGGACAGGCGTTATAAATCCAGCCACTTTACTCACGCTCTCGTAATCCACGTCACCGACTGCAATGGTATTTTTCATCAAGTTTCTCTATTATATTTTGAATCTAAATCATTGTTTAAAACATAAAATTTTAATTGTACCGAAGTTGCAGAAGCCTTATCATGCGTTTAAAACCACCTTTTCCCCGTATACTAATTGCAAATGTTTTAGAACTCAACCAGAAGATGCTTAAGATAATTATTTTTTCCTTCAAAATTCGGAATTAAAGTCTTCACTCCTTATCTTAATTATTTCCGTCGTAGACAAAATCTACCGTACACAGAGCCGTGAGTCTAAGTCACGTTTCGAGGAGTAAAAGTAAACGGCAGATTGGAGTGGTGAACATGAGACTCAACTAGCTCATCTGTCACGTGTCCATTGTTAGAAACGAGCTACAGTTCACGTGAAGCACGTTGAGAAGTATCACTGAAATGATTCATTTCTATTGAGGTCTACTTGCCAAAGCGCAGCTACAATCACAGCTGGAACATTAGTTAAGTTGGGCCACATTTTTCAAAGTAGATCGCACTGTAATCTGGAATTAGAGACAATCGTTAAGCACTGCATTAGCAGCAGAATGAAATACTTGGACGCGTTTTAAACATAGTTTAAACATTTCCCATACAAAGTTACCAGCCTTCACGCACTATTCACATGTCATCCAATGGGAATGACCCGCAGGCAACTATTTTAACATATTTTCATCGTAGACGAGAAGATCCCAGCAGTGCACCGCGCACGTGTCGCAGTTATTCCGGAAGTATCTTGTTAACATGTGAAGTTGGTCGGTAGTTAGGAGGAGTGTGTTTTAAATAACTGGTCGAGCCACCACCACCCCCGCTATATATCTCATATCAGTACCATTGTCTTGTAGTCGTGGCAGGAGTTACAATTTTTCTGTAGACTACTAGCGTTTTGCTTTATTTTTCACTTCATCGTTACTTCAAGTAATGAACGGAAAGCGGAGACGCGAGATTGAAGATACGATGGGAAATGGAGCTAGATGTGATCTGGACAGCGCGTCAGGAATGTCGGAATGCTTTAGTGTGTCGTATCTTAGTGGTGAAGGTATTTTCAGCACATTTCTCGTTCCCAGGATAAACCACAACATGGTCCTCCCCTCAGGCTCACGACCAACAGATGACTCAGTGGATTTGAGGAATGCGAACATACCTGTGTTTATAGAATCAGGTTCAGTTGGAATGGGGGGATATGAAGTAAACCATAGGATTACTTACGGCAGCTGCAGTACCAGCAGTACCGACAACAGTAATATCAACAACAGCTTCCTAACAGATAAACTCCAGTCTAACAACACGTGTCGTGAATTAAACACGAGAAATCACCTAAAGAGAAAACGAACAAAGCTGGCAAAATACTTCTCCCCAAAACAGTGTGGATGTGTTTTTCTGCTGACACAAAGATCCTGACTCCAGGTCACCAGTGGGAGGATGTATCGGATGTTCCTCGTCGAGACGAACCTCTGACCTTTTCCTTCTGTCAGTACGAGACGGACTCCGTCCTGACGGACTTCCGGGATAGTTCAGGGGTAACAGTGACCGCACGTGTCAGTCAGTCAGCACTGTTCTATGTTAGGGACAAGGGTTGGTGCGCCCTGAGACCCTCAATAGCCGCTGCAAGATACGGAGTTCACGTCTTTCTGTTTCTTTGCCCAGGGGACTTGTGCCAACCTGTTCTCTTCCAGGAGGAGATATCTCTAGAGTCAGCTGACAGCACAAACTCCTCTTCAATCAGAGTTAAACGACCGATGAACTCGTTCATGTTGTTCGCTAAGAAGTACAGGTTGGAACTGACGAGATTGCACCCAGGGAGAGATAACAGGGACATAAGCATACTGTTGGGGGAGAAGTGGAGGAAACTGTCGAGTGAGGAGAAGAAGAGGTACGCTAGAGAGGCACAGACCCTGGCAGAGGTTCACAAGAGGAGCCATCCTGACTGCTGGAAAAGAAAAAAGTCTAAATGAATACTGAAGTTTCGGGGCGATATCAGGTCGTTGTGAATTTGAAATGTTGTAATGATGGAAAGTTCGAGGTTGTTAAGTATTAATTGGGTTGAGAGAATATAATTTCATTTTCAGTTCTCAGAGCAAGAATCCAGACAATTTCTCCCATAATCACTAATCACTTCCTTGCTGTTGAAAATAGCTCTGATGAAGGAATGAAATCTATATCATATTCTAATATTATTGTAGTTGTAATTGATTAAGCAATGAATTTTAACGAAAATACTAACCCGGTTTTCTCTTGCCGTTTTTCTCCTCGCTGTAGTTGATACCACAGTCAATAATAACAGCACCCGGCTTCACCATATCACCGGTAACTAGCCCTGGCTTTCCAACTCCCACCACCAATATATCCGCTGATCTCGTCTGGAATCACATGTTTTCAAACACAATGAATCATGCTAATATATAATAAGTTGTATTGACAAGAAAGTTTCGAATAAAATTCTTCCATTAGCACGGCTTCCAGATAAACTTGATCAATAAAAAGTTAAGTCGTACTGTAGATAAATAATGGAATTGGGACCCATTTTGAATAGAATCAAGTTGTTAGACGAAAAAGTTGCAGATTGAATAAAGTTGTTTACCTCTGCGCTAAGATCGACTGTTTTACTGTGACAAGTGGTGACCGTACAGTTTTCAGCCAAAAGCAAGTCTCTCAATGGGGAGCCCTGCAAAGTAAGCTCGATTGTTAGATTGTATCTCCTGTGTTATGGGTTTGTAAAAAAGTATTATATCCAAGTAAAGATAAGATTATAGCGATTAAAATTAGCGTACGTACGTACGTGACTTACTGACCTTATCAGTTGTCACGCGCCGCGCCACACCGCGCCCAACGGCGGGATTACCGATGCAAAGCTAACTGCATAATTTTCATTTTACCATGTTCATGCGCCCTCCCAATTAAATACAGATAAATCCGCAGAAATAAATAGGACCAGTTTGCCAAAACTAAGAAGATACGCTTTCCATCTCTGAAATTTTCCGGAGCAGAAGCAAAATGTAGCTGCGGTTATATTTTGTAAATAGTATGATTACGCATCTGCCTTGATTTTTGTATGTACAGCAAATTTGTAAACAGAAAACCGCAAAAAAAACAAAACTGCGTAGTATATACATGATATATATATATGTTTGTTTGTTTGTTTATAGGACCCGTCCCAATCTCGTATCGGAAACTGACGAAACTCAATTTTGAGTGTGAATACGGGTGGTAGTATACATATATAACGTAACCTTAATCCTTATAGTACACCCTTGCTGGTACCGCGACAATTGACCCCCCGACAATCGACCCCCCGACAATTGACCCCCTATGTAATTACACTGGGGTCAATTGTCGCGAAATCTAGGGCTTAGTACGACAATTGACCCCCCCCCCCCCCATGTGATTACACTAGGGTCAATTGATCGGGTTAGGGTTAAGGTTCGGTTAGGGTCAGGGTCGGGGTCAGGGTCAGGGTCAGGTACAGGGTCAGGGTCAGGGTCAGGGTCAGGGTCAGGGTCAGGGTCAGGGTCAGGGTCAGGGTCGGGGTCAGGGTCAGGGTCAGGTACAGGGTCAGGGTCAGGGTCAGGGTCAGGGTCAGGGTCAGGGTCAGGGTCAGGGTCAGGGTCAGGGTCAGGGTCAGGGTCAGGGTCAGGGTCAGGGTCAGGGTCAGGGTCAGGGTCAGGGTCAGGGTCAGGGTCAGGGTCAGGGTCAGGGTCAGGGTCAGGGTCAGGGTCAGGGTCAGGGTTAGTTACATTAAATTATATTGTCGGGTGGTCAATTGTCGGGGGGTCAATTGTCGGGGGGTCAATTGTTGGGGGGTCAATTGTCGCCCACCCACGCTTGCCGGGTTTAACACAACAAATAATGTATAAATTTAGAATTGCCTTAGTTGGCTTAGTACGACAATTGACCCCCCCCCCCCCCCCCATGTGATTACACTAGGGTCAATTGATCGGGTTAGGGTTAAGGTTCGGTTAGGGTCAGGGTCGGGGTCAGGGTCAGGGTCAGGTACAGGGTCAGGGTCAGGGTCAGGGTCAGGGTCAGGGTCAGGGTCAGGGTCAGGGTCAGGGTCGGGGTCAGGGTCAGGGTCAGGTACAGGGTCAGGGTCAGGGTCAGGGTCAGGGTCAGGGTCAGGGTCAGGGTCAGGGTCAGGGTCAGGGTCAGGGTCAGGGTCAGGGTCAGGGTCAGGGTCAGGGTCAGGGTCAGGGTCGGGGTCAGGGTCAGGGTCAGGTACAGGGTCAGGGTCAGGGTCAGGGTCAGGGTCAGGGTCAGGGTCAGGGTCAGGGTCAGGGTCAGGGTCAGGGTCAGGGTCAGGGTCAGGGTCAGGGTCAGGGTCAGGGTCAGGGTCAGGGTCAGGGTCAGGGTCAGGGTCAGGGTCAGGGTTAGTTACATTAAATTATATTGTCGGGTGGTCAATTGTCGGGGGGTCAATTGTCGGGGGGTCAATTGTTGGGGGGTCAATTGTCGCCCACCCACGCTTGCCGGGTTTAACACAACAAATAATGTATAAATTTAGAATTGCCCTCATCGAAAGTTTGTAATTAGATTTGCAGGATAACTGGGGCAGTTAGTTGAGCTCAAGATAAGCATAATTGAGGCAGAGTATTCGATATTGTAACTTTACAACATTAGATTCCACCACATTTTGTGTATAAGCTAAAATTCCTGCAAACTATATAATGTTGTTTAACTATACTACATCCAATCCTGACTAAAGTGACTCAATTTCATTCTGTTGATGGATTACGATCCAGCTTGACGAGTTATTCATTTGCCAAGATTTACCTTCTTTTGTTATTTATCAAAATATGTCGATTGTCGATAATATTAAAAGTCGCTGCATTATCAACTTTCCATTTGATAATAAGAATAATGAACGTCTTGTTGAACATAATATGTGTTTTTCCTTATTTTTAAAAGTAATTCTTTTCTCCGATGTTACGAAAAAGGATAGTTGCGGGCACTGCACTGGGCATGCCGATATTATCTCATTGTACACAGCAGTACTAAGTACACAAATCTAATAGAACGAATAGCGGCCGATAGTGCGACATTAAATCAAGGGATATATAATATCCCTAGATCTTGGGGTTAAGGTTTGATTATACCTTTATGTTTTCTGTAGTATGAATGCCACGTTGCTTTATCATTAGTATTGATTCTGCAGGACGGAAAAATCTGGCTCATGTCTTATCATCGATTTCACAGTGTATTTTATAAACATATGATATTTACAAACATAACAATCAGTGCCCATTGTGACAGCATGGCTTTCCACGGACCTGATGACCCTACTCTTTGGATCACTCGTCAGTTAGGTTACTGGGAGAATCAGATGTTTGGAAACCTGGATCCTAACTCTATCTGTAGCATTTTAATGAACACGTGCATCCAGTCTGACCACATTGACCTTACTAAGCTTGAAGAAGCAGTCAGAGCTCTGATTTACAATCAGCCAAACTTTAGAGCAGATGTGAGGAAGGGAGAAGATGGAGTGATATACTTCACTCCTGCCACTGATTTCTCTGATGTGTTTGAGTTTATTGACCAGAGTGGAGATGCGGAAGGGGTTACAGGTTACACTGGCTGCTGGGAGCTCTCAGAGAAGTTAGTCAACACACCCTTCTCCTGTGGATCTGGGGCTCCACTTCACAAAACCTACCTTGTAAAGAGACCTGACTGTTACATGCTGCTTAACCGATACCACCACGGCATTGGTGACGGTACCACAGGGTTTTCGCATCATCAACGAGATACTGAGGCAATATGATCTGTTGGTCTCTGGGAAGGCAGTGGATCTGTCACCAGCTGCGGTGCTGATATCAGGCGAGGACATGTCCAAGTTTGTGAAGAACGACGAGCTAGTTGAGAAGATGATTGAGGGTAGATTGGAGCGAGCCAAGGTTCAGGAGATGCTTTTGCCGCTTAACCGTGAAGAACTGGCGGCATCTAAACCCTCCGCAAGTAACCCTTGGATTAACAAATCCCTGCATGCAGTAGGCACTGTAGAGGGTCTGACCAAGTTGAAAGCCCTGTGTAAGAGATTAGGGGTGACGGTTGGTTGCTACAGCTTTGCAGCTTTGTTTTACTCGGTAGCTGCAGTTCACATCAGGAGAAGAGGAGGAGAGTTTCCTGAAATGGGTGTTCCAAAATTGTATGGGGATGTTGTTGGTAACCTCAGGTCCCGGGTAGAACCAGATCCTGGTGATGAATGCTTTATGGTTTGCATTGCTGAGATTGAAATAAGTGAGAAGATAGAGAAAGAAACCACGCTCTTGGAGACCGTTAAAAACATCAGCCAGCAGCTCAAATCTTGTATCGAGGAGAAGAAGTTTCCTTTGTTCGCGCAATTCAAAGAAGCAGTAGAAACAGGGAAACACTCCGAGTACCTCAACTCCCAGCCAGAGGGAACCTACTGCGAGTTCCTGCCAAGTAACCAGGTAGGGTTCAAGTACCCCACCAAATACAGCTGGGGTGAGATGACTTCAACCCATTCATTGGGATCTTACTGCTGTCCTAATGGTGCCAACCAAGTGTTGCTGTATCAGAGTGTTAACGGGGTCTTGAACTACACAACTCGCTGCCGTAACGGAGAGAATAATTGTAAGGATGCCCAGGAAGTGCAGGATTTGTTTGTTTCCGTCATGGAGAATACAGAGAGGGTGAATGAAAATACACGAGTTATGGATATTGTCGATTTTTAATACGGTCATTTTAAGAATGACTGAGCGATTTTATCTCTAGTATGAACTTTATAAATCTCATTTCTATGGCTTATTTCATGGCCAATTCTATGGAAAACTTTATGACTAATAATCTTGTTTGTGTAACTTGTAAGTAGGCGCATACATGTAATGTGTAGTCTATTATGTACGATTTAATAATGAATCAATTACTTATATCTCAATCTGAAATTCATTCAATCTCATGTTAAGACTAAGTGATAACTTTTAATTTGATTAAGCCCATTACATGAAATATCTGTAAAATAAACCATTTTGGCAATTCGGTAGTGTAGCATAACACGGTTAACGCACGGTTAAAGCACAGTTAAGGCACGGTTAAGGCACGGTTAAGGCACAAGGGTTACATAAGGCACGGTTCTTAAAGCACGGTTAACACACGGTTAACGCACGGTTAAGGCACGGTTAAGGCACAAACTGCCCAAAAGCAACCATTATGGTCGCTTAAGGCACGGTTAACACACGGTTAACGCACGGTTGGGGAAATATAACATATAAACATACAAGTGGTTAACTAAGGCATGGTTAAGGCACGGCTAGAGAAAAGGGTTACATAAGGCACGGTTGAGACACGGTCACTTAAGGCACGGTTAACGCACAGTTAAGGCACGGTTAAGGCACAAACTGCCCAAAAGCAACCATTGTGGTCGCCTAAGGCACGGTTAACGCACGGTTGGGGAAATATAACCTATAAACATACAAGTGGTTAACTAAGGCACATGATCTGAATGTGACGATCTGTAAATTTTACAGTGCGATTCCCGCTATGAATAAATTTTCTAATTGTAAAGCAACAGCCCTGCTTCGTTTGACCGTCCTATATTTGAAATCCTTGTGCCATAACCGTGCCTTAACCGTGCCTTAACTGTGCTTTAACCGTGCCTTAACCGTGTTATGCTACACTACCGAATTGCCACCATTTTAAAACTATTTATTTCAT